TATAGAAAAATCAGCTTTCTTATATAATTCCTATAAGTTATATATAAAAGACTATAGTCTTTATTATATAACTAAAATCTTAAAACTATTAAAATAATATAATTTTTAGAAAATATAGTCTATTATATTATAATAGCCAGAAAATAATAAAAGATACTAAAAGCTTTATATATTTCTCTAAATATATAATAGCTTAATACTAAAATTCAGGCTTTTATTAGCTATAAGCTATTAAAATAAAATATTATTATTATTATAATATCTATAGAATTAAATATTTTATAATATAAAATCGGAATTATTAATTCTATAAAAAGCTTTTTAAACCCTTAAAATATTAATTCTTTTTAGAATTATTAGAATATTAGATAAATGCTTTATTTCTCTAATATTATAATTAGAGATTAGTAATATTATTATTAATTATAATATAATAGTAGCTTATTTTAGTAAATATAAATAAAGAATAGATTTAAAAGAAGCTTTAAAGAAATCTATTTTACTAGCTAAAATAAAGAAAAAGTATTTTAATTATAGTAAATAAGGCTATAAAAAATCTAATTATAAAAATAAAAAAGTAGAAAAGTAAGAAAATTAGAAAAAGAACCCTAATATAAGACTTTTAATAATTTCTAAAAAAATAAAGAATTCTTTCTAGAACCTGAAAAATTAATTAAAAAGCTTATAATAAATACTAATAATACTAAAACTAGTTAAATAGTTTTAGTAAAGCCTATTTATAATAAGAATTTATTATAGATTATTAATTCTAAAAGCTCCTAATATATAATTTATTTATAAAAGGCTTTTACTAAATATAAAATATTAAATACTTTTATACTAGTAATTATAATAAATAAAGCCCGGATTTCAACTATTATAAAAAGTATTATATTTTATAAATAGCTTTAAAAGCCTTTATATAAACTATAAAGCTTACTAAAAGCCTAATTTTAATATTATAACTTTAGAATAAAAGTATTATTATATATATTACTATTAGTTTTATTAGAAAAAAGCTTTTAATTAAATTTCAGGAAATAGTAATAGGAATTATTAGCTATTTAGGAAAAGTATATATTCTAGATAGTATTTTATAAAGTATTAATATTAAACTAAAAGTAATTATTATATTAAAAAATTAAGCTAATAATTATTTCTAATATTATTAGTTTAGCTATTTGAGTTTCATAAATTTAAAACTAGAATATATTATTTCTATAAGATTTAAAAAGCCTATTAAGGCTTTTTAGAAGTTCTATAAGTTCTATATTAAAGCTAAAATAATAAGAATAATAAACTAAAAGGCTTTTAAATAAATTATAAATTCATTAAAATATATTTATAATAATCTATAAGGCTTTTATAATATATTTATACTAGAAGAAAATATTTATATATTTATATTTATAAATAACTATATTTATAAATTATAAATAGATTTTACTAAAACTAAGAAATAGCTAAAAACTATATTTTTATAATTTAAAGCTCTAGTAAAGCTAGAATTAAAATATAAAATTAAAGTTATATATTATAATAATATCTTAAAATATAAGTTTTTAAGAACTTTATTATTAGATAACTATAATATATAGTTTAAATATATTATTTATATTTCTAAATAAAATAAGGTTTTTAAATATCTAAATAGGAATTTAATATTAATAGCTAGAATTATATTATTAAATATTAAACTTTTTATATAATTCTAGAAAAAAGCTAGAATTATAATCTATTATTTATAAAATAATCTAATACTAATAGCCCTAATAGAAATATTTTTAAAAAAGCCTATAATAGAAAATATTTTAATTTTAGATATTTTAAAATATGTAAATTTATAATATATAAATTTATAATATATATATAGTTATTAAGGCCTATTTTATAGACTATATATCTATATTAAGGTAATATAAGCTATATAAGCCTAAATAGAAAAAAATTATAATATTTATAATATTTATTTTTTATAAAAATAAATAATTAGAATAGAATTAAAATAAAAAGCTTTTAAAAAAAAGAAATAGTTTTATTTAATTTTATAAAAGCTATTAGAAAATAACCTAAAGCTCTTATAATTATAGAGCTTTTAGGAAATATATATGACTTTCTAGCTTTATTTCTTTATTATCTAATTTCTAATAAAGTATTTCAGGGAATTATAAGAATATTATAATAGTAAATATAAGGGCTTTAAATTCTAATTTAGGAAATCCTAATTTAAAAAATCCTAATTCCTATAATTAGAGAAAATTACTAATTATAGGTTCTTTAGAATATTATATAAATATAGTAATTATAGAATATTTAATTCTAAAAACCTATATTAAAACTATAAATAACTCTATTTATAAAGCCTATTAGAAGTAAATAATTAATAAAAAGTTTTCTAAATTATAAGTTCTAAATATCTAGAAACTAGTATTATTATTTTTTAGAAAAAAAACTATAGGCTATAAATAGATATTTATTATTAAATATATATTTATAGGCCTAATTAATTAATATAAAACTCGATTAATAAACTAAAGCTTTAGTTAAATTCTAGGAAATAATTTTCTAGAAACTTTTAATTTTATTATTAGAGCTAAAAGCTTAAGGATTTTACTAGTTTTAGGAATTTATAAGAATTTGGAAATATATTAAATTAATATAATTAGTATTTATTTATATTTTAAACTTTATATTAAAATATATATATATTTCTTTAAAATATTTAAATATTTTAAAAGCTTAATATTTCTTTATTTAATTCTTTATATAGGCTTAAATAATTAAAAAGGAAATAATATATTAAAGCTTATATAGAATTTAAAATTCTCGGTTTTAATTTCTATTTTAGTAAATCGAGTATTTTTATTATTATAGATTATAATATAATTATAAAATTCTATATAAATAATATATTAGTTCTAAGCTATAATTTATAAACTATTTAAAAGATTATTAATAAAATAGTCTTTTTATAAAAAATCAAGAATTTAGGAAATATAGCTCTAATTTTAGATATTTAAATATATAGAAATTATATTAAATATATTATAGGCTTTATAAAAAGATTTAAACTAAAAGAAGCTAAATCTATAAACCTTTTTATAAATAACTAGAATACTCTAATTATAGTATAATTAAAAAAGAAATAGGCTAATTAGAACTTATATTAAAAGGCTATAGGCTATATTATATAGGTTTTAAAAAACTTTTATTTTAATATTATTTATATAATTGAATAGTTTAACTAATATTATAATAAACTTATTATATAATATTAAAATACTATACTAAGAATATTTTATTATCTAAAAAATATTATAAATTATAATATTTTATATAATACTAGAAAAACTAAAAGCCTTAAGCTTTAGGGCTTTAATAATATAGATTTTATAAGAAATATAATAAATAGATATTCTATTATAAGATATTTATATTTATTTAATAAAAAACCTATTATATAACTACTTCTATTATTTAATTAGAGTATATAAGCCTATTAGAGGCTAGTAAATAGAGCTAGTAAATTAGAGCTTTATTTAAGGAACTTAAATATATTTAATATTTAAATATTATTCTTTTAATTCTTATATTTAGTAATAATTAGAATTATATAATATTAGCTAGAAACCCTATAGCTTATAGTTAAACGAAATATATTAATATTTGCTACTATTATATTAGAGAGCTAATAGCTTTTAATAAAGTAACTATTAAATATATTTCTATTAAGAAAATAGTAACTAATATATTTACTAAGTTCTTATTATCTATAGCCCTTAGATATTATATTAAAGGGCTATTTATATTATAATTATAGAATTATAAGCTATTTTCTGGGCTGTTTTTAGGCTATTTCTAATTTTTTAGGTACTAAGGCTCTGGGAGCTTTAGTAAATAAAGTAGTAATTTTTAGAATTATTTCTTTAAGATTATTTTTAATAATATATAAAAGAATTATTAAAATTAGGAGTCTGAGGCCCCTAATAGACTTAGTAAGCCCTGAAACCGAATATTATAGGGCCATATACTAGCTTAATATTCTATCTAGCTAAAATATCTTATATAGCCAGAATATCTTATATAGCTAAAATATCTTATATGACTAAAATATTCTATATAACTAAAATATCCTATATAGCTAGAATCGGTTTAGCTAATATAGGGATTTAGTATATGTGATTTAGGGGTTCAAAGCTATATATACGGGCTACTTACTACTATAGAATAGCAGTCAATTCAGTATTATTTACTTGGTTTATATTGCAAGCACGTGACCCTAGCTTTATTACTTAGCCAGTTCAACAGAGCTAAGCGAGCTGATTAGGAATTTGGAGATCGAGGCAAAGCAGGTTTTATCTCCAGAGGCATTTCTCATTGGCCTTATTCCGTAAATGGGTGAGTATATTTCCCAATCCGACTAGCGCAAAACGAAATCCCTCGGCAAACAGAGGTCAAACCCTCAAGTTTCTAGGGTGTTTTAATTGGTATCAATCGACTTATGAGCAAACCACATGACCAAGGCGAGCGAGGCCAACAAGTCGCACCCCGGGCAGCTCCTGGGGCCTGTCAAAAGTCATTCTCAAACAGGTTAGAACTGTGTGAAAAGCTAATACCACAGGTCCAGGTGCTCTCCTTATACCGACCCTCTATTAGCAGACTCTGCTGGCAGATTCCTCCTTGCTAGCGTCTCATGCTTTATTTGTGACAAATGGAAGTTTGTGAGAATATCCCTTACGGATGATCTGCAAGAACTAGCTCCAAGTTTTTAAACAGAGGTAACCTAATATTACTTTGGGGATTTATCAAAGGCTGTAGCTAAGCCTACTCTGTCATTTACTGAATATATCTTAGAAACTCCCAATAACCTATTTCATAAACTCTAAGCCAACAAAATTGATATTAGGCTATATAATGGTAATGGTAATTAATCGGCTTGAGTTTATAGCTGCTTCTCTTTCATATTCAATAGAACCTTTCTTCACGGGGTCTGAGCTTGTTTAATAGTCCATCCTGTACAATCCAACGCGGCGGTAAGTCCCAGGATCCTTGTCGCGTTCAAGCAGAAGACCAAACACAGAATCAAAGGTTACCCATATCGGAACCATAAAGACTTCGCAGTTTTTGGATCCAAGAAAATCCAAATACGTGCGTACAAAGCGTATCCTCCATCCACGTCGAAGCAGCTTTCTGTTCACCAATGGCACTCTCTCTGGAATCGGACACCGCAACGTCAACGATCCGCCGTGCACTTCTCCGTACGGGTCTTTTGTTGCCAGTTGCGTCTTACAGCCTAGGACTTTCAATTTGCTTTCCTGGATAGTTACCTTCGCGACAAGCCTGGAAAATTCTGACGTCTCGAAGCCTTCCCAGTCGTCATAGGGCTCCTCCAACATGTTATGCACAACACCATCGATCTTTGCCCATGACCACGATGGCGCTCGAAGGTTCTTATCTCGCGACCTTTTGTGCGAGGGTTGCACGTACCAGAGGAGCTGGAACTCGATACCCACTCTTCATAGCCCGGCAAAATATTCGGATTTAGAACCCGACTCACGAACACATTGTCTGACGAGCTTTGAGTGCGAAAACATGCGCGCGATGCTAGATATGGCGGTGAGCTTGTCTTTAGGGTATGTTATCGTCGTTCGGGAATACAGGCCCACTATCTTTAGCCATTCGTACGCCATCCTTCGGAGAATGTGTAGATGTTCTGCTTCTAAAAAGTCTTCATCCCAGCTTATCACTGACCTGTGGACTGGAGGGGTCCAGGATAGCACCTTGGGCAGTATTTCGCACGTCTGGAGTGTACGGCACTCCCAAAGCAATTGCGATTTGCAGAAGTACAGGCTTCGTGGAGCCAGTAACGTCTCCAGGAAGCACCAGCCACGCTTCAATATTGACGTGTGTGAGAGATATTCCGATTTGTTGAGCAAGCAAGGATATGTATTTCCATTTGAGGTGTCGCGAAGCTGGAACTTGGCAGTGGGGTCACGCTCAAAGAAACAGCCAGCAGCTCCATCAGGCGCATCGGCGGCGACGAGGTTCAAGAAGCAACCTGAGTATATGCTCCCCATGTGCGCGGCTTCATTTATCCAGTCGTCATCATCGTCTTGAAGAATGCAGAGGGAGTCGATCCATATATACTGGAACCCCAGCCGCCGGGTGGCAATGATGGCATCCTGAAAAGTCTTAGAGAGGTTCTCGAACGGGATATTTTGGAGAAGGGAGTCTAGGTTGTTTAGATTTGCAAGGAGGGGCATGGGTCTTTTCCCCCAGCAGTGGGTCAGAGCAAGGTAGCGCAGGCCATTTCTATTTGGGATCTGGGAGGTGAGGCAAAGGCGAGTGAATTGGCCATTAGGAGATATGGAGACGAGACGTTTTGGTAATCGAGGAGCCATGTCACGGCCTGGACAAGCTGTGGAAGTGGAATGTGGTGTGTTTTGGTATAAATACGTATGAATGATCGTGCCCTAAGGGCGGTAAAGAAGCTATATATACGCCTGTGCGCAGCACGTGACATGCCCCCTCAAAAAGAAGAAAAGGAATATCCCTATTCCTAACCAATGCCATTTAAACGGGTCATTTGCCCTTTAATATAAATTGCGAAGGAGGAACGAGAGCTCGTTGTGAGAAGTGAGCTTGTCGGAAGAAGGGAGCTCGTTGTAAGAGCAAGAGTGAGAGGAAGGGAGCTCTTTATAAGAGCAGGAGTAGAGGGGCTCGTTGTGAGAGCAGGGGCAGAGGGGCTCGTCGTGAGAGCAGGAGTGGAGGGTTGTTCTTCGTCTTCCTCGTCTTCATTGGCAGAGGCAGGGGGGCTCGTTGCGAGAGCAGGAGTAGGAGGAGCGAGAGTAGGAGGAGCTGGTATCTCTTGCAAGCATATCTGCTAAACCACTTGAACGATCCGTTGTATTTGGGTGTCCGTAAGGGCATCCTTTTGGTTAAACCGCTAAGGGGGTTTAAATCGTGAAATAAGAGAAGTGCAAATCTCAGAGACAGGAACGGACGAGAGGAGACGACGTTCCAGGGGTGTGTGTAAGCTCTGTGAAGTACCAGAAGAGAGCAGTACCACGAAGGCAGAGGGGAAAGGCTATACGAATATTGTCTTGCTGAGTCTCTACCAAGTATAAGAGCATGTACGTAAATGCGAAAACGTCTGTATAAACCACCGTCTTTCCGGTTATAGCCATACCTTCTGGATCAAAATATCCAATATGATTAGGGTTGGGGGCCATTCTGGAGGATAGCGTATATGTGGGTCGAGGACTTAATTAAGAGCTCACAATAAGGTATCGATATGGAGGTCGAAATCTTAGGGCATTGCTACCATGTCACGGCCTGGACAAGCTGTGGAAGTGGAAATGTATGTGTTTTGGTATAAATATGTATGAATGATCGTGCCCTAAGGGCGGTGAAGAAGCTATATATACGCCTGTGTCCAGGCCGTGACAAGCCATGACGTTTTTCTGGCAGTGGTGATGATCCTCTCCTTTGGTGCACTCGAGCACCCATTGTTTTGCTCTGGTCCAAGTTACGTCGTCGTCAGTTGTCCCCGACATGAATGGCATAAGCTGATCCGCCATAGAATCTGTGAGTGATTTATTGATCAGTGTACCACAATCCCAATTTATTTAATATCTTACCATGATCCATATGAACAGTAAGCGTCGCAGAAATGTGCCCATCGAACACAGATTGGAGAAGTTTCTTGCGTACAGGTAGCTGCAGCACGATATTGACAACTTTATCATTCTCATATCCGGAATTCTCCATGATGGTTTCATTGAAAAGCAAGCAACCTCGCCCATATTTGGATGCATAATTCAGCTCTTCCACCGTGAATGAGGCCAAAAATACTCTGCAAGCAACGCATCCATTTTCCGCACCCTTGCGTAGCCCATGGACAGACTGACACTTTTCCAACGCCCCGAAGCCGATATGCGAAAGCAGGAACTCCCAAATCCTTGAATCAGTTCTCACTTCTTCCTGCAGCAGCTCGATAAAAATTGTGCGGCAGTACCAGCAGAATTGTGATTCATTCTGTCCCTGTTGTTTTTGAAGTAGAACGGAAGCTAAAAGAGAAATCATTTTGTGATAGAGGATTGAGGACTAGTATTGGGCTAGAGGGCGGTTATATGTACAAGTAGTGTGCTGTGGGACGGGGAGAGGGCCGACGTGGTCGATAATGCCAAGACCCCTGAATTAGACACCAGCGCTTACAACTTCCTTGTAAGCGCCTTTAATTTAACTCATGTCTATGAAATCTCCACCATTTCGAATAGTTTTAATTAAGGGTTTTGGTTGTAAGCAACTTGCGAAATAGTTCGCCACATAAACCCATAAACCACTTTTTAATTCAGACAGTAATAGCTATTTTCAACCGGGAGGCGAAGCACCATCTACGCCTTCTTATTATTGCTTCGTACCTTCTTCCTTCTGCCGACAAGCTCTTTCTCGCCCCAACTCACCCTAGCTTACCCAATATGTCGACAAGGCAGCAAAGTTTACTTTTCCGAACAAAAACACATCTCCTTCGTATTTGGGTTAATGCGTGATACGTAGATCACGGCATAAAGTGACGGGATTACAGCAGCATGCATAAATTTAGGGCCACTAATGGGCCCTATAGTATCTCAATAAGCCCTGTAAGCCCTATAATTATACTGAAACAGAGGCGTAAGGCCCCTGAAGACCCACTATAATCTCATGCAGCTCGATTGGGAGGTTGCATTAAGCCACAGGCTTCTATAGGCCCTTAGCCCCTGTATTTTTAGGCCTGCGTCCGTAATCGGTAGCGGGGTAAAGTAAGCTTTACTACCCTTCTTGGGCCCCCCCACCAAGGCTCCTTACTCACTCTCTTCTTTACTCTCACTTCTTATTTAAAGCCAGTAATTATAGCTACTTTTAATAGTTTATTTGACTTTCCTGATTTATTAAATAGCTAATTAGAGCTCTCTTTTCTCCTTAACTCTTCTGATTTAGATATATTAGAATATACTAAAGCTATTAAAGATAAAGAGAATATCTGGTATAATTTATTATCTAATTTAGAAAATAAAGATAATAATTTACTTGTATTAAGTTTTATTCCTTCTCTCTATTCTCTCGTAGCTACTTTTATAACCTTTATAATACCTGATATTATATATAAAAAGTACTTAACTAGTACTAGAATTAAGGCTATTTATATACTTAAATAAAAGAAATTTATAAATAATATTAAAAAAGCTACTAAAGTATTATAAATACGTATTTATGAACTTATAAGCCTTATTAGATAATATAAATAAAGAGAGAATAAAGATATATTTTTAGAAGTATATTATATTTTTAATTAATTTTATTCTAATTAACTAGTTATTTCTTTTAATATAATTAAATATATTTTATAAGTTATTCTTTAAAATTTAATTATATATAGCTTCTCTTATACTATTATAATAGGGATTTTACTCCTATTAGTCACGTGATTCTGTTATATAATCTCCGGATATCTATATAGTCCGTGGTTCACTTATATTACTCTTTATTTCTTTTTAGTTCTTAGAAATTAACTAACTTTTACTCTCTAATTTCATATTATAGAAGCCTATTCTTCTTTATATATTATTACTTGTTTTATATTTCTATTACATTATAATTATAAAGAAAATAAGAAAGAGGAATTATGAGATAGTTATAAAAACTATTTAGAAGATTCTTATTATAACTAGTTACTTTTAATATAAATTAAATAATAAAGCCTGACTTAAATAAGCTTAGTAAAAAGTAAAGATTAAACTAGTATTTAAAATATAAATATTAGAGTTTTAAGAACTAGAAAAATATTATTTTTATAAATAAAATAGTAATATAATTAGAAGAAATAAAAGAAAAGAGAAAAATATAAAGATTTTCTAAGAAGTTATATAATAAATATTATATAAGAAAGTAATAAAAAAGCTTTTCTAAATTTATATTTTAGGAGTTCTTATATAATAAAAAGGGGCTATATTATATATAAGAAAGAGAAACTATATAATAAAAGCAAAAGCAAAAGCAAAAGATTAATTTAGATATAAAAAACTTCTTAATTAAAAAGGCAAATAAGTAAAAATAAGAAAAGTAATAAAGAAAGTAGCTAAGAAATTAGATAAAAGTATATAGAAAAAGGCTTAGTAAAGTAAGAAAAATATATAAGTATAATAAGAAACCTAGAGCTTTATAATAAAGAATAAATAAAGAAAAATTAATTAGTATTATTATTAAAAGAAGATTCTTATTTCTAAGCTATTATCTTTTATAAAGAAATACTAAAAGAATTATTCTAAGATAATTATTTAGAAGAAAAATATACTAGCTTATAAATCTTATTACTAATAAAAGATTTATAATCTTTAAAGAATTATAAAAATGTTATAGCTAAGTAATTTACTTGATTTGAATACTATTAAATATATATGGTTTTAGATAAAGATAAAGACTACTAGGAAGGGCTTATTAGTAATAAAAAGAAGCTTGGAGAAAAATAAGGGAAATATTAGAAAAGTATATTTTAGTATATAATTCAGAATAAATTAAAGCAATTTCTAATTATATAAAGGAGGTAATTAGACTAAAAGAGGGAAATAAATGTAAGGAAGAACAAAAAAGGGGCTAAGAGAAGATTGTAATATATTATGGCTAGTATATCTTTACTTATTATTAATTGGGTTAGCTAATTTACTCCTTTATATATTAATTAATTAAATAACTGATACCCTTCAGAAGGCAAGTAAGACCTTACAGGGTACTTTAGTGGACTGCATAAATTTATGCCCTGTAATCCCGTTACTTTATGCCGTGATCTTCGTACTAGGCTGTTGCTATTCCTACTAAAGGCTGCCACGCAACGTTGAAGCTGTATTTGTAACGTGAGTATGGGACTTCAAGGAGTATCCTTGAAAATGAAGTTGTTCCAGGATGTGGTGGTATATTTTAATAACAGGCAATGATATATTGCCCGATTCGACTAGTAGAAAACGAACCCCCTCAGAAAACAGAGGTCCAAACCTCAAGATTCTGTAGTATTTCGTTCGGTATCGATCAAGTTATAAGCAGATGGCATTAATCCACCAGTTTTGTTCAGGCCTAATTTTTCGGAGCTCGTATAATGCATCGAAGAGGTTAAGCGTCACCTTAATATACACGCCATTACACAGGATGGCGCGTTCCGGCTTAGCAGGACCCCAAACATAGGATAGTGCTCGATACCGATCTTTCGGGTTTGTTGACCCTAGCTCGATCTCCCTGAGTTCGCATTGCATGCCGGGGCCTTCAACAAACAAGAGCACTCTTATATTCTTGCCGCTATTGAGGCTTTGGAAGATTGGTGGATCTGAGTCACGGTCCTCGAGCATTCGATTAAGAACGTGCAGACTGATGCTTATCAATTGAAAATCATTTTCGAGAGCGTCTCGATCGAGGTTCATCTGAATAGGTAAGTCCTCTGGTGGAGGAAAACCGCTCAGCTCTCCTAACATGAGCGCAGCAAAGAGTCCGGCCCCGTCAGTAGTCATTGTAAGATTACTTCCACACTTGTGCGCGTATTGGTTGTTTGTAGAAACCTGAGCTGCGTTTTACACAACGAAGCAATATAAGTATTGGGGCTGGGGGCACGAGGAACTTAAGTGAGGCATTATCGAGCGATTAGGCAGAAACAGTTGCATCAAATGAGGCTTGAGCAATACATTCAGTAGCGCCACTCAGTCAAGGCTGTATTTTCAAATCTAAGTGGACTGAAAGAGTCTTAGTGCTGGGCCAATTGGGAAGTGCGCGCCCTGCCAACAAAGCAATGCAGGAGGATTTTGTGTGGTCCGAACGGTTGCTGATTGGCATGTGGAATGTCTCAGGGCAGGGAGATTTCCCAGTAAAAATCCCTGCCCCGTACAATCGATTTCGAGGCCTTGCTTATCGATGTGTAGTGGTACGCCCGCCAAAATTAGATGAACCCAGCCTCGCAACACCTGTAGCAATTGAAGATATACTCTCCATATAATATACGAACAGTGCATAAATCCACGGTATTGAGTTGGGCAGTAACAGTAGGGGCAACAGTTATTTATTAGGAGCTACGGAACGGTAATTCTACGCTGTCAAGCAACTGTGACGTCTGTGATAGAGCCTCTGCTTTCTTCACCCTGTAAACTCGCTATAGGGCCCTATATTCCAGGCCCTTCCTCTGAAAGCAGCATTTACGCCTTCCACAAGGGCTACCCCACCTCTTCAGGGCTTCTCCCCTGTACTTATAAGGGAGTCTTCGCTAAGGAGGCCTATAATAGTTGCTTGTTTAGCGTCCTAGTGCTATAGTTGCTCTACCAACAGCGCTACAACTCTAGAAGATCTACTTATCCCCTGCGAATGTCTTATAGCGCCTCTTTACATTGATTTAGGGAGTACTGCCTGGAGTTATTAGGGCTTATAGCGAACTCTTGCCCTATAATTCGTACTTTGTAGAGCACCAAGGGTCAAAATGCCCTGTATTCCCGATACCAGTGTGTCAAATGAATAGAATAGAATAGAATAGAGTAGTGACCGCTACTCATATTCTATTCATATTCTAATCATGGTATTGATGAATATTCATGAATACTTTGAGTAGTATGCACGTGATTCTGCACGTGATTCTGCACGTGAAGAGCTAGCTATATTAGGTAAAGCTTCCGCTTGCTCCAGCTCTAGCGCCACCTCGCTACCCAATTAGGCAACGGCGAGGCTTGGTAAGCGAACCAAAGCACAAGATTCCGAGGAGGATAATTAGTTTATTATTATAGAAAATTAGTATATAGCTAGTATTATATAAGTCTTAGCTTAGTTTAACTAGAGCTATTAATAGGCGCCTTAGTTATTTAATAATTATTAAGTAAACCTTGATTTTCCATGGTCACGTGAAGTCACTCGACCAGTAATTACTAGTATTCATGAATATTCATGAATATATATTCTACTCTACTCTAAATTTTTGAGAATTACGCTACTCATATTCTATTCAAGATATTCATGAATATTCATGAATACCTTGAATACCTTGAATACTTTTTTGACACACTGCCCGATACTTTATGCCGTTGTCTTCGTAGACATTTCAATCCAGAATCCCTCTGTTCAACGACAGGCGGCTCAGCGAGCCCGTCTCTCAGGTCTGATAAACTACTTTAGCATCCCGAGTAGCCAAAGACTGCCAAACACTGTGGAATTCTGCGATGAGAACTGGATTCTATTTCATCCGTTCGTTCAGGAATTGATATGATTAGTACGTACCGATGTCTTCTCCTGACGAAACTGACTTCGATCTCCTCTAGTATTAGGTTTGGGTATGGAAGGGATGTGTTATCGGGTTTGTTTAGGAAGCAATAGTTGAAGGCCTGTTCCTAATCATCTTCCCAGGACTAGACTGACTTCCTCGCCAGGTTATGGCGTTGATATGGAATGGATATGTTATTCAGGTACTCAGGAAACAAAACACAGATGTACGTGCAGACCTCTGTCACCGCTCCCACTTGCTTCCAATCTTAATTGTCATGAATGAGTGCTGGCTCCCACCTCCTTGAAATAGGCAATATCGAAAGATATTCTTGCGATACGTCGATTGGGAAGCGTAGTTCAGGTATAGAGCCCATAATGAACTGGTTCGGGACGGGGTCCTGAAATAGGGTGAACGGTGTCGTCGAAGACGGCTGGATGCTCGAGTGAGGCTCGGTCCTCAGACGGTACTGCACAGAATGCCCTGAACGCATCAAAGATGGTGGGGGCCCTTCCCTTCAGTCCAGCCCGGGCCGAGATAAAGGCGTAATATTGACCGAACTTCTCCCATATCCGTAAATTAGCCAATTCTGGATGAGATCGGAACTCGGGCCAGAACACAACGTATTGCTGTGCCATGAAACACTCATACTGGATCACCAACTCCGCCATCATTGTCTCGAAGGCATCGATGTAGCTGCGATCTACTCCTAAAAGTTCTGGGTACGCATTCTGAGCGTAAAAGCGGACAGAAAGTTGCAGTTCCCCAGTTTCTCTACTCCACTCGAATAGAGGTCAATAGCCCTTTCTTCGTTTGATTGCCATCCAGCGCTACTCGAGTGTAGTTTTCATCCTGAAGGCTTCCCAGTCCATACTTTGGACGACAACAAGGGTGATTGAGCCACGAGCGCTGACTGTGGCCCTGAAATACCCCATTGCAAAGACTCTGGGCTTGGAATATGTGGTGAGTTGCGCGTGGGTGCTGCAGAGTCGGACCCTGAACGGTGCTGTCGAGAGGAGTATAACGTACGGTTGGGGAATCCTGAACGGCCCTGTCGGGAGGAATGTGAGGCGCGAGTGTGGGATTCTTCTGAACGGCGATTGATATGTGTGTGGGAAGACGAGGAGGGGCAGAATGAGATTCTGAACAGCGTGGGGGAGAGTGTGTGACAGGTGCAAGCTCAAGGTCTGATACTGAAACCCGTGCTGGTGGAGATATTCAAGTCTTCCCGACGACCACGGACCTTAGGCCTAAAGTGAACTCCTCTTACTTGACCCTCAGCTAAGAAGGAGGCGTGGGCTCAGGCGCGGGTGTGGGCGCAGGGTTCACACCAGGAAATGGAGTACTTTGCCCGACTGGTCGTTTATCATCAGTATGAATATGAACGGAAGAAAAGGCTCAATAGCATACAATAATAGCTCCAGGTATTGGATTCAACCCCAAACGTGTCCACTTCGTGAGTCGTGGGGTCGGTAAGTTCGCAATGTTCGGCCTGAATAATGGCTGCCCGGCTGTGATCGAAGCTAGCAGTACTTAGTAGGGTCTCCTGAGAGAACCTTTGCTGCATTGCTTCTCCCATATCACCCAAATCTGACTTTGGTACTGCGTTGCTGCTTGGTGTTTGTGTTTGCGAGAAGGAAAGAGAATTCTCAAGTTGATGGGGGATATTGAGAATTGCCGGCTTCTTCATTTTCGACAATGGCATAAGGTTCAAGATTCACCGACTCAAAGGGCGATGACAACAAATGGAAGAAGGCCACCCGTGGTATGACAGCATTCAGGATATCGACAATAAGTGTTTGGTAGACAATAGGCGCTGTTGTAAGATTAGACGGAGAGTCGACTTCACTTCCCACCTGCCTATGAACGTTGCCCAGTTGAGGGGAGAGACCACTGGGTCCTGGTAAAGAGTTGTGAACCTGACCTGTGTATCACAAACCATACACAATCGCTCATGGCCACTGAAGTGAAGTTGCCCCTGTGGCGAGGGATGAGGTCTCAAACAAAAAACTCTACATTCCCGTTTGGCAGCCTTCATCCTGGCATGAAGTACTCCATCAGCCAGGCCGCGGTATTTGTGACAAGAATGTTCGAGCAACTACTGAGTAGAATCAAGAAGCCCGTGAAATAGAACAGCCCAGGTCCGCATCAAAAGCTCAATGTAAATGAAAACCATAGATGTGAAAATGCACGTGACTTTCCCCCTTTCCCAGGGCCTTTGCTCTCGCTTAAATCAAAACAATCACAACATAGTCTCACATGAGACCAGTCGAACCACCAGCCATTTCCTGAAGAAAAGGTTTTGCAAATTCGGTACGCACTCGCGCAGGTACACATTTCGTGAAATTGAATTTCATTCCACTAACCCATGTACGTCAGCACCGAGAGGGAAGGGAGGGAAAGAGCAGGTGAACTTACACTGTCGGCCTGGGAGAGGAATACGTCAGCACTGAGAGGGAAGGGAGGGAAAGAGCAGGTGAACTTACACTGTCGGCCTGGGAGAGGAATACGTCAGCACTGAGAGGGAAGGGAGGGGAAGAGTAGGTGAACTTACACTGTCGTCCTGGGAGAGGAATAGCTGTCAACCTTGTGTAGTCATCAAGATTCCCAAAATAATACTGGGCAGTCTGCTCCCGGTGCGGAGTATCCCATGTAAACCTGCCGCATCGACAGTATGGTTTCAACATATCATGCTCAAGAAATCCAAGAGATATGCCGTCTCCGAGTTGCAAACTTCTGAGTAATTCTTCCATGTCAAAGTATTCTGAAGTCCATGGATCATTCTCCTTAAGCCGTCGGTAAGAGAGAAATTCGGCCTGCACCCATGCCCAAATATGTCCGAGCTGTGCGCTTCCACCAAAACAGGATGGAATGTCGTCTTCCCAATGGCGGCGGCATGTGTCCGAGAATAACTTATCAATTCCGTCTATCTCTCGGAATGCCGTGGACGTAAAACGACCACCATACTCGTGTTCTCGATCCTCTAGATCTTGTAGACTGCGCTCGTTGTGAGACTTCCGAAGGACCAAGCAGAATAGTTGCCATCCATTTCTTGCCGGCAGTGGCCATGTATTTGTCATTGATTCCGGCACTTGTTCGGCGAGGTCGATTGGAGACAAGTCTTCATGAGAACATCGATCATTGCTCTCAATACCCAAAAGAGCCGCAGTTGAGAAATGTGCAGTACGGCAAGGGTCAATGCCATTGTCGATCAAGCACAGCAAGCATGCCAGCGCACCGAAGAGGTCTTCCCCCTGACATCCGCTCCTTCCCAGTTGAAAAGCGGTTAGTACAAGCGTATGTAGAGGCAGGAGTTGTAGCTTCCGACCGCACTCCGAGCAATATCGAAGGAAAAGTCCGCTTGGAGTTTCGAGCGACCTTGCCGAATAGTTATGAAGGCAATCCAGGCAATGGCAGATAGCCTGGGCAGATGTGTGGCAGAACTTGTGTTTCCAATCAAAAGGGACTGATGGTCCACCGGAACCCAAGATCTCGCGGTAGCACTCTGAATCAGCATCCCATCGCCCACAGATATCGACCTCCTCGCCCAAGAAGCGGTTCTCTGTTGCCAATGCATGGTCGACAAACCCTGGTGTAGTGGACGTATGACTTTTCAAGATTGTTATCATGAGGTTGTCAATAGTCGTGTGGCCAAGAGAGTTGTAAGAACTTTTCGATGGCCAAATTGTTAGAGGTACGGAATGGAGAAGGTCCAAAAGGTTGCAACAGGTCTTTGACCCGCGGAGATAACTGATTGCCAGATGGAAGGGGTACAGTGATGATAAATCCACTGCTTTGTTTCGTGCCTCGGAGAGTAGCGTATCGAGAAGGTCAATATTGCCGGCAATAATACTGAAACCCACAGTTTCCACCAGAATCTCGTTCGGCGACTTGCTGGCGGCACTGGCTACTTTTGCAGTAGAAAACGGTATCTCGTCCACCGAAAGGCTGCTGAAACTGTTGGTTTGCAAGGCGTCCACAATCTTCTCCTCGATTGGATGATTTACCCATGATTGTGGCCATTCCTTCCAGGAACTTTCATTCTGACCATCACCGTATTCGTCATCGCCTGGCGGCGAGGGAACCTCCTCGTAATCTTCGTCAGGGACGTGTATGCTCCATCGACACAATTGCGACGGTTTTATGCCGACTTTGGCTCCTTTTTCGCCAGGATCTGATATCATCGGAGATCCCGCATTCAATCCTGGGGTGTTAGGCAGTGACAACGTTCCAGATCCTCGATGTTGATAGAAGCCAAGATTGTCAGCAGTCCAGTGTCGAGGACCCCGGCCCCAATTTTTAGCAGTCTGAAAGCCAAAAAGCCAGAATTGATTCAGCCACGTGAAAGTTGATCTGAAACATCCATTAGCAGGTGTTCCCACAGAGTTCGCGAGGTACTGCACTCTTTCTCCCTCCTGTCCATTGACTTGACAAGATCATTGATCCTGCCTGCAAGGAATAGGTGAGCCCGATCGATGGAAACCTTTTCGTTGAGAGTCTTCGAAAGAGAAGAGATTCCTTTGGAAGATACTACAAGATCTTCTGGAGGAGTGGCGACGGATATATCTGATTTCGCAGGTGATGGGTGGTCGATCGAGGGGAGCCGGCACTGCCCAAAGAATGCTCTGTAGGGAATGTTCCATCGAAGAAATCTGCGCAGAGTCAGTTAACAGCCAAAAATATGTTAGGTACAGTTGATGGACTATGCATACATCGTATTTCCAAGCGGATGCTGAGAATTGAAGAAACCTCCATCGGACAATCCTTGACTCCTGCTGGCTGGGAGTACAACATCCTTTCTGGAGGCCATCTTGGCGTACCGACGAAGTTTGTTCAGATCCAGGTCTTGGCCTTTATATTTCATGACTGTCGACTTGCCGAGAGATGCTCTCGTACGTCCAATCTCGCACATCTCCGCCTTCTTCGTTGCTGGGACATTCTTCTTCCATCCCCAAGTCTTGAATTGATACTTGTACTGTGGCTCACTATAATGCTTCCTTAGAAATGATTGACACTCATCTTGAGGCACCTGAACTCACATCGCGTCAAATCCGTACTGCTCCTTCATAATCTTGATGATTTGGGACAATTTGAGCTTCTCATCGTAGTAATAGCCGTGCAGGTAAGGTTTCAACAGCCCCCATCTCTCCTTGAACGCAACGTCGGGGCGGAAGACGGCAAATGGTCCTGGTACAAAATCCATAGCGGCGGTGAAGTTGGTGGGAAAAAAAGGTGTGCTATGGCAGAGATCCCCAAAATACGAGGCTGCTGGCGGTGCAAGCGGGGAGGTACTGACTTCCAATGCCAAAGATACCTTGCCCCGGCCGTGGGAAGTTGTGAAGGAATTCTCCACAGATCGCAAATAGAGTTGAAAGAGGAGGATTTTGAGATCTCGAAATTTGGTTGGGGTGGGTAGGCTGCCTTACGCCCGGTTTGGCTGTTGCGATTTTGGTGCGAGGCTCAAACTCAAACAGACAAAAAGGAGAGTGGCCAACCACAACAACAATAGAGCGCCACATCGTTGCTCAGTGGCCTTCAGCCCACCTCATCAAATTTACGGACAGCAACGACGTGTATCGCTGCATGCACCAGTGTCACTCTCGTAGCAGCCGATTCTTCCTTGCGATTTTGACAACAGGGAATCGATTTGAAGCCATGTCCGCGCTGGTTGCCTGCCGTCTATGCCGCGACTTCGTTGAAGCAAAAGGGTCTTGATGGACGTATCTCGGCACCGCCAATATCTAATCCTGCAGCAAGTCAGCCTTCTTGTTCTACCCACCTCGATGCGCGGTACAAGCAAAAGGAGACCAGCCAATCATCCGCTTCGTTACACGCCACATCGCCGGCCGTGTGCCGGGGGCTGTTCCACCCGCGGCATGTACCCTAGGGCATTGAAATGCATGGGTTGTCCCCCCCAACTCGGGAGGCAGACAGTTCGAAATCCTCTGTCAGCCAGCCTGCCGTCATTATCCTGCCCACGCTTCTGCCCCGGTCCCTCAACAGACCTCGTTGTTTCCCCTAACTCGAGAGGCAGACAGTTCGCAATCCTCTGTCGGCCAGCCTGCGTGTCTTTATCCCGCCCACGCTTCCCCCCCCCCCCTGTCCCTAAACAGACCTCGTTGTCCTATCAGTACCGAAGACAAAAGCAGACCGCCCAATCACCAGCTCCAGCAAAAGTAGACTGCCCAGTGACAAGCGTCTCGGGGATCTCAAGCTCTCCAAGGTTTCAAGCATTGACTGCGGCAACAATCTGAAAATTTAGCAACGTCCTGAACCCATTCCCATTGCGTGTTCTTGCATTCAATCAAGCCCGAGCGGTCATCTGGTCTGCCTTAGTGTGTTGAACAAAAGTAGACCGGCCATTGACATTGAAATGGCCTGGTTTCACCCAGCTCGAGCTAGTGCCGAGATTCCTCAGAGACCATGAGAGCATCTGGGTGTGCTGTGCCCGATCGGACTCGCAGGAGTAATCAGCCCTGCTGTCTAGTGTGCATGGGGTTGAGTACTGCTTTGTCATTGAAGGAAAGATGCACAGTGTGGTTGTGACAGTTGTGACTTGTTCCGGAAGACGAGAGGACTTATAAGACTCGTCCCCGTCCGCTTCTCCCAACTTCTGACACCATCACCTCAAGCTCTGGCCTCGTCATCTCAACTTCCGACCCGATAAGAGACTTGCCCCGCAGCTGATCAAGCTCTGTTATATCCCGCCCAGTCTTTGATTCTTTCCTCCAGCTGCTGGTGACAACCCAAGTCCCAGTGTTCAGAGCACAGATAGAACGCCGTCGAGTACGTCTGCGGGCATCTTTTCATTTGTGCCTGATCGAGGATCTGATTTCCTGTCATAAGAAATAGACTGACCTCCATAGACTCGTAGGACCCACTCAAGAAGACCTAGCCGTCACTATGACACGCAAGTCAAGCAACAAGAAAGGCGGCCATCCTCGATCACCCAGCCACCACGGAGAGAGCAAGACCAAGCAACCCGAACAAAGCCTTCAGAAAACCACAGAAGCACAAACATGTCCCTACCATCACTCGATCCTCCACCTCGAACATACTCCTATCAGTGGATACGGGCAATCGCCAATGGAACGGTTCATCACTGAGTCGCCCTCCGAGCAGTCATCGCTCTTCCGTCGACCGGATACAGGGAAGCTATCAACCTGGAAAGAGTGCTTGTGTGGCAACAGCAGCACAACAGGCGAGCAGGTGTCGGCGGGAAAGGGCAATTCAGAAGCTTCTTCCCACGGGACAAAGAGTGCATAGTCCTACTCGTGGCTGTCGACGAGGATTCTGAGGATCGGTTTGTCTTGGGATACCGGAGTGTAGTCCTGGGTGAATGGAATGTGGTTGACATTAGCTTGTGTGCATGGCAGACTGTGCTGTGTTGATTGAAAGATATCAGTGCCAACTAGCGCACCCCACTTGAGGATCTTGATCATAGATAGAAATGACAAAGTTTTTCCTCGCCATAGGGAGAGCAATTTTGATGTACATGTCATCATCCCTTACTCCGAGTCTCTACTGGCCTGTTGTGCCGTAACACACCGCCTTTCCATCTTTGGCATTGAATCCATGAGTAGTGAATCAAGATTGCTTGCAAGAACGATATTGCGCTGTTTCTTGGGAGAGGGAGGTGAGGCTGCACGTCAGTTTTCAAACATCAATTCCACTCAATCAAAACTTCGATTCCCCTCCCCATCTTCCTCAAATCAAATCACAATTGCGTTTCGCCGCTCTCCACCAAATACAAAAGAACCGAGGAAGGAAAGAAGGGCGAACTCTGCTTCGCGGTGAACAAAAAACGCGGTCCTGATTCTCCAATGTCCCAAGTCAAAGTTCTACATCTCAATGTCCCTTCTTGTAATGTTCCCTCGACTTGCGGTGCATTCAAATTCTGCCTCATCGAATCTCTTCAAACTCTCAAAAAAGAAAATCCGAATTTCTTCTACGAGAAAGGTCAAATAAAAGGTCAATTTTGACTTGGGGAATTGAGAATGAGGGCCGCTTTTTCTGTCCACCGCGAGTCTGCCCACTCGCCAAAACCTCATCGGCATTTCCGCACCCAACCTCCGACCTCACCTCTTCACCTCCCCTCCAAGACCCGCAACCTCATCCCCCCACATCTCCCTCCACCAACCCTCAAAATGTCCTTCGACTCCCCCCTCCCTCCCTACAACGCCTCGGATCCAACAGCCACCTTCCTCAATTCCTCATGCCTCGACCTCCTCATGATCGAGCTCGTGCCAATGGCCTACCGAATCGTCAACGAAATCGACTCCTCCGACCCCCCCCCCCCCTCTGCCAACCCCTCTTCAACCACGACTTCACAAGCACAATCCCCTACACAATCACGGAAAGGAGATGGAAGCTTAAAGGGGGGGGCAGGAGCAGTAGGTGTGAACGGAAGTAGGAAAATGGACGAGGAAGAGGAGCGCGATGCTGTGTTCTACCGTCTCGAGATGCTCGGGTATCGCGTTGGGCAGGGCTTGGTTGAACGGTATAATCTCCCCCTTTCCCCCCATATCCCATCTTTAAGGAAGAGGAAGCTCATGGCTGGTGTTTTCACGCAGGTTCTCCAAAGACCGCCCCCGCTTCACCGACACCCTGGACGTAATAAAGTTCCTGTGCAAAGACCTCTGGATGCTCGTCTTTAGGAAGCAAATAGACAATTTGAAGACGAACCACCGGGTACGCTTCCGTCTCCTCTCCCCTCCTTCTTCCCCCATCTCTCATCCCGCCTCCCTGTCCACCACAATGCCTCCAATTCGAGCGCAGCAAAGCTAATAAAAAAACAGGGGGTCTACGTCCTAACAGACAACTCCTTCCGACCATTCAGCCGCATGTCAACCGAAGCAGGTGGACAAGCAGTCGTCAAAGCACAGCCTTTCCTATATTTCCCCTGCGGGATAATACGAGGAGCGCTGGCGAGTATGGGGATTAATGCCAATGTACAGGCAGAGACGAGCGAGTTGCCTGGGGCGACATTTCAGGTTAAGGCGCTGGTTGCAAAGACTTAGGGGGTGTGGGGTGTGGGGAAGAAGAAGAAGTTGGGGTTGAGGGTTAGAGAGAAGGGGTAGAGGAGTACGCAAGGGATAGAGGCCGAGGGAAGGAGACAGGGGCGGAGATGGGATACCGCGAGGGCAGAGGAAGGGGAACGAAGGTGTTATGATTGGTGATCGATGCAATTTAGCGGCATAACTGGCTGGCGTTTCGGAGGCATATTCTGGAGTTCCGGGCACAAGATCCAACAAGACTCTTCAGAGCACAAGCTTGCAAAATAAGAAGCAGCCTCACACATCACTTCACCCATCACAGCATAACAGTTTCACTTTTCAAAGCCCATTTATTGCTCATGTAGACCGCTAGCACCACCCCGCCGTCCATCAACCAGTCATCGGACGTCAACCTTCCTCCCTTCCCCCAAACACGCAACGAAAGTAAGAGATCGGAAACAAGTCCACTCTCCCTTTAGCCGAGAACATCGAAGAAGAAAAGGTATGGCAGTCATTTTACAGCCTATCTAAGCAGCGCCAACGATCAGTGGAATTCCTACGACAGAAAAGACCAGACCCTTGCATATTTCTTGTCCTCCTTTAAAAGAGAGCTCGCCATTCAGAATGACAAACGAAAATGAAAGACAGCCAATTTTTCAACGACGAAAATAGCCAAAGAAAGTAGGGAAATTTTGTCTTAATCTAGGTTGCGGATAAGGGGAAAAGGAGAGACGGATGGGAAGACTACTTTTGCGGTGGGTTGTGTGCGAAGCTGACACCCTTTGCGATATTGCCCTTCAGGCCTTCTACGCAAGCCTTAAGGAGTGTCTTTTCGCTCTCGTCGAGGTTGGTAAGGGGGTTATGTGCCTTCTCTGCGCCGGTGGTCTATTTCTATTAGCAAAGTAATTTGATTGTAGGGAGAGACATACGCCTAGCTCGACGGGAACGGAGAAGAACTCGCAGCCAGTTTCCTTGAAAATCTCCTCGCCACCTGGAATACCTTGCAGGTAGACGAAGGTTGGGGTAACGATGCCCTTCTCGCCGGTAAGGCCCTTGAGAACTGCTTCTGCGAATCTGCTTTCATTAGAATTGCTCAGGATGAGGCAAACTGACATACCGGAATCCGGCATAAGCCATAGAAAGAGTAGCAGATCCAAGACCATCCTTAGCTTTGACAACCTCATCACCACCAAATTGCACGCGCTTGATCAGATCAGCCATCTTTTCATCTGGGATCTTAACAGCAGGCTTTGCCTGGCTGAAGAGAGGGACAATAGTCTCTCCCGAGTGGCCACCAATGACTGGGATATTCAAGCTTTGTGGGCTCTTCTCGCCAATGATCTCCGCAACGAAGGTCTCTGCTCGGACAACATCGAGGGTAGTGACACCGAAGAGACGCTTGGGATCAAAGACTCCCTTCGCCTTGAGGACCTCGGCTGCGATTGGAACGGTTGAGTTGACAGGGTTTGAGATGATGAGGATATAGGCTTTTGGTGCCACTTCGGCAATGACTTCGATGAGGCCTTTGACAATGCCGGCGTTGATGTTGAAGAGATCATCACGGGTCATTCCGGGCTTGCCTGTCCATCATCAGTTTGATGTCCTTGTAAGGAGGGTTTCTACATACGGGGGATTCCAGCGGGAATGATAACGATGTCTGCATCTTTCATTGCGAGCTTGGCTCCATCATCCTTTGGAAGATAGCCGGTGATTTTCTATATCCCTCATCAGCTAATTCTTCCACCCCTGTGGATGTACGTACAGCGGGTGACGAGATATGGGACAGATCTGCTGCGACACCCGGAGTATTGACGACATCGTACAATGCCAATTCGGAGATGAGAGGAGAGGTCTTGAGGAGGAGGGACAATGGCTGTTGAGGTCAGCAATGCTCAGCGGGTAAGAATCAAGGCAAGGCACCTGTCCAATTCCACCAGAGGCACCAGCGACAACTAAACGTCATCAGCACCATCCCAACACCTTCTCCCCGCCCTCTGCAAACATACCGGCTTTGATTCCCATAATTGCGGTTTCGGTGATGATCGAAATCTGCCCCAACAAGTGTCAACATTTACCCCGCATTATCTCCAATTGGCCCCAATCCACCCGGAACCAGCATACCTAAAGTGGAAAAGTCCTAGATACTGCAGAGAATTGGAGGTCGCAGAGAGGAGTCTGCGAAGAGAAGGTTTTTGTAGGATGAAGGGAAGGGTTGTCTCCTGACTCCTTGAAATTGGTTGGCCGGGTTGAGCTCTTTCTTGCTGGACCTGGTGGGCAGCCAAGCGAGAGCGGGGTGGGGGTCGGTGGAAGGCTCGATCGGGCCGGCGATTTAAAAGTATTTGTGCGGAAGCTGAACGCTCTCCTTTGCAGAGATGAAGTTCAAAAAGAGAAGTAAATATTTGAATGGCAGTACCTTGCAGATTAATCAAGACGTTTATACTGCCCCTTAGCACCGCAGGGCCGAGGCAGCTGCTTCGGCGAGGATCGGACAAGGCTCCTAAGATGGTTGCGACTCTTGCCGATATGATCTTCACATGCCGGAAGACAGGGACAATGCTGGATATACTTTTACCAGAAGTCAAAACGGTGTTTTCAAGGTTCCATATTTGCTGCAGCCGAGCCAGATGTCCAATGCCGTGAGCCATTCACGATCCTAGTCAGCCACAGGATTTTGCAAGTGCCACGAGGCTCTCAAGAGATCCAGTCAGGCCAAAGAATTCCATGCAACCACATATCATAGCATTCACAGACCAAATATAGCTTCTTGCAAATGAGTTCAGTTCAGTTTATGACTGACTAGCAAGACCGTCCCATGCACCAAGTCATCCCCATGCATCAATCACTCATCCTTCTCAGCAGCCGCCTTCTTCGCCTTTGCACCACGCAGCTTCTTCTCTGGGGCATCCTTCTTAGGTGTTTGTGACAAACGGATGGCAGATGCGCGGGAAACAGCCTCAGCGCGGAGATCAGATCGATAACCTGACTTTGCGGTGCTGCTGACGATGCCCTTGTAGGTCCTGTATATACTATCAATATCCTGCTCCATATGTATGCCGCAAGAGATGTACATACTTTCTTGTGGTCTTGTTTCCGCCAAAGGTGACCTTATTGACAGAGCTTCCTGGTCGTTGTGGGTGCTTCGTCTTCTTGGTGATCAACATAACTCCTCCCTTGTCGCCCTCAGCTGGCGCAACTCCGATGGCCTATTCTAATCAGTATTCCGTCTCTCTGCTGTGTGTCCTTCTCGGCATACCTTGTCGTTAACGAAACCGGCATACTGGATAGAAATTAGTAAATGTTCAATCCCCTCGATTTCAAACCATACCTTGCGGGAGTGGACGTTGGTCAGGTTGAGAGGATCACGAGAGAATCGAACACCTCCACTTGAAGCGCGCTTCACAAGGTAGGAGTTCTGGTGTCCTGTGGTTGATCAGTGCCTGTTGACATGAATTTCCATTTCCCTCTCTCCAATTCTCCATCTCCACCATTCTTCTCGGGTAGTCATTCCAGGGCAACGTACGGGCAATCTCCCAGATCAAGTCCGCAGACACTTGGCTCGAGTGGTGAGTCATGTTGATTGTATTGAAGTTGTCAACTCAATCTCAATTGTAGTCTTTCAACTTTGACATCGAATTCAAAATTCTGTGTGTATCTCCCCACCAATCAGCATCCCTCGCTTCTACCACAAGATTAGCACAACGCTAAGAGCCGCTAAGCCCAATGCGCGCGCTTCGTCACCCCATAATCACCCCCAGCCTCACTCATCCGCTTTGAGCTCTGTAACGCATCAACAACCATGAGCTGACCTCCCTTACCCCTTCCTAGGGTTTCATGTGCCAAGTCCATTTCCAACTCTCCTGCGACGGAATCCCTCCCACTCGTTTCCAACTCCTGAGTCTTTAGAGTTCGTCCAGGACCCTTATAAGCTCCATCCCCAGCCTCCCGCGGGAAGATTTAAGAAGATGGGCTACCTATTGTACTCCACCGTGTTCGCTCTTCTCGTACTGTCAACCGGTAGCTTCCTATTCCTCCTTCTTTCCCTTCCCTTCCTCCATTTCACTTCACTAACGAGCGTATCTACAGTCCTCTTCCTAACCCGGCCCCTCTGGACACCCCTCATGCCATCCCTCTCCATCTCCCTGCCATCAGGCCTACTCTCCTCAATCCCCTCGCCCTCCTTTCCCTCCTCATTTCCCGGCTCCTCATACCTCTACTCCCGCCTACCCTCCTCCTTCTCGTCAGATATCGAATCCGGCTTCTCCTCGTCCGCCTTCGACCTCAGCGCCAACGTTGCCGCCGGAGACTCCCGCGCCGGCCTCGACACCGAAAGCAAGCGCGAGATCCAGAGAATTATGAAGAATAGGAGAGTCAATTTTGACGAGGCGAGACGAATTTATACAGAAGGGAGGTTTGCGAAGAATGGGATTGGGCCGGATGGGAGGCCGAGAGATCCGAAGTTTGTTAGTTTTTCGTAGGGAGGGAGACGGTAGATGAGTTGCATAGAGAGACAGGATTCTGGACTCTTTGCGATAAGTCTGTTGATCTCTTTGACCTTCGAGCGACGATTCAAGACACCATTATACACTCGATCATACATTACGAAGACTCGAGTCGTTGTATACTACATACTTTACGGATACCCGGAGACCTTTCATACCTCAACTACATCATGGGAATCAGCGGAGAGATAGGCATTACGGCGTTCGGACTGAATGATCACGACAATTTCAAGATAGGAGAGAGGATGATGGCTCAGATCCAATGGAGCCATCAATATGGAGCAAGACACGCCAAGTCAAGTCAAGTTAAGAATCTACATACAGACTATCAATCAGTGGAATGGCTGGGCGAAAGTCCACCACACTATAAAACACTCTCTCTTCTACATGTTCCACTGTGACCTTCACTCCCAAATCTCTCGATTGAAGAATGATCCCATTCTCACATACCGGTATCTGACTACTCCCAACCCTTATCGCAGGAACGGTTTTAGTTTCACATTCCATTCCTCACGATATGCAAGATGTAGTCAGCATTCTCAGACAGGACAACCCTCCAACCCGTTTATCCCCAGTACTCTATCCATGTATTTATGCAACAAGCCTTCCATCGGCGCAGACCAAGCCAATGAATTCATCCCACTCAGAAGCATTATCACTTCCCCACCCGCTTTAGCCCTCAAACGAGTAAAACCTAATCATAACCGCTCTTCCATGAAACAACGCACCGTCACCCCCTCAAAATTAACCTGACTTCTGTGATGGCACCGCCACAGCTAGATTTCAGGACACGACGATCCTCCACTTCCTCTCCAACCTCCCTCTTGAACTCAGGCGTCTGCAAACTCAAACTTCACTGTAAAGCACGAGTCTCCCCACCTGTTTGATCTACCAGATCTACATGTCTTAAACAGCTCGCCACTGCGAATGAAACAACACATTCAACCGCGAATACAATGCACTTCCAAGACGTCTTATTGGTTCTCAAGTCATCCTTCCACACCTTCCTAGAAGACTCGATATCAAATAAAACATTCAACCACGAATGATTCCCACTATGTCAAAGCGTGGTGCTAAGACCAAATGTCAAACTTGTGCAGAACACACCCAACCCCACAGAAGACGAATCAAACCTACTTTCATATGCTTAAGTCGATTTATCTTTATGAATAACATATCCTTCCAGCCGACAACATCTCTCGGGAACCACGAAAATCATTGTTCTTCAGCCTTCAAGCACAAGCAAAGCCGTATTTAACCTCATTACCAACATCTCTCCCCGTTCCCTTTCTCTCTCTATGATTCTATCTTACCTCAAACAGAAAATCCATCCCCCACACCTATCGTTTCAGAAAAGCTATAGTCTTTTCGCGTTACCGTCATCTTTATTATCGATCTCACATCCTCCTTGGGAAAAGTCACCCCATTCTTCTAGCGCTCTGTGTACATTCACAGTGAGAATGTTTGACATTATTTTCGCGCTTGACAACAATCCTCATCCCACCCGGAGTACGGACGAACATTGCTGTCACGTCCACGCCCTCTATTTACTCTCCCTTTCAAGCACATCCCCTTTCACTCCTTGGCTCAGAATGCTGTCCCAACAGAATGTGGAGAGCAGGCGTTCCTGTCACTGACCCTTCTTGCATCAATGCCCGCTTACATCCAAATGATGTTATCCTTCAGAGTCTTCTTTCTAATGCCGGACCCAGCACTGCTTACACGTCCGTTTTATACTCAAAGCACAATGATCGAAAAACGTTGCTCATCCTGCCTCCGCCTCGCTACCCTTATACCCCCACCTGAAATCTTTATAATAATTAACAAGTCAAACATATCGTTATTCTGCATTTCAAACCATTTACTTCAACCCTCCCGTCGCTTTACACAAGCCCTTTCCACCCTCCTTATATTTAGACACACTACTTTCACACCATAAAAGCGGCGAGTTAGCCAGAATGTCATAAAAGCACACTTCAATACACCCAAAAGCCAATCAAAGAGTTGGAATACAGCAATGAAGCAAGTATCTGCTGTTCTGCTAAGTCTCTCCTTCCCACTTTTCTGACACATGCAATGCTTTTGCTTAGAGCCTGCAAGTCTGTCATTCTCTGTCTTCTCTCGGATTCGTTGTACAAGTCTATAGAATGGACGAAAATGATAACAGAAGTGGATCTGACAGCAATGAACGAAATGATAATAACAAAGAGGAAATTTTACTCTTTGCGAGCAAAGAGCCTACTATCCCCAAAGAATTCGTCACGAATATCCACAAGTTCGCGACTTGTAGGCCACTGAATTAACGCTTCTGAGCTGAGATATCCTATTCCCGTAGCATATGACCTTGAGGTCTTTGTTCTTATTACGTGTATCGGGCTCGCGTTGTGAGGAGGTTGAGCTTTATACTTATAGACGAGCCTCTTATCACCTTTCCAAGATTGAATTGAATTGAATTAAAAGCACCTTGTCTCTCGCCTAATGCGCCAACGGATGCAGTCTATCGTATCTCTTACCCACTCTCCTTTGACTTTGATCATCTATAAAGCGGATATCCTCGCAATACTTTGCTCGACACATACGTGCAACGGTGCTCACGGAGAGCGAGTGGCATGGCATTCATCGACTATCGTTACGGCTATGTCCTTTTAAACTAAAGTCAAGCCTCGGGTAGTGTGAATGGATATACGTGAGGCAAACCTGATTACAGCGAGGCAGCACGATCGCATATCCGACTCGCTAATTAAACTTAAACTCTATTGTCAATTCTGTTGTATTGCCAATGCTTTTCATGCTGTCATTTTCATCCAGATTTGGCAAGGGGAGCCTTGCCTCTAGACTTGACACCGGTTAGACAGGACTTCTGAGTCCTCCAAGCTTGTATTACAGGCTCTCAATACACTACTACTACCCGGACCGACAAACAGCTGTTCTCATCCTTGGGCCTTCCATCACTACGCGCAGGGCGCATATCAGTCGTTGTCACACTCGCGTTAGGAAGAGGTTTGCTTTATACTTAAAAACGAGATTCCTGCCCTGTTTCGTAACTTGAATTCAAGACAATGAGATATCCACTACATTTCCCAACTTAAATCGAAGTTTGCAGGACTGGCTCAAGGTGGCTAAGTAGTGACAGGAGAGACCCTTTGAGATGCTAGAAAGCAGCTACAAAAGCTCGTGTGCCTTCGACTTTCCCTTCTTGTATTTAATAAAATATCAAATTTAATTACTTGTATTATATTTCCTAAAAATAGCCCTTACAAATTTATAGAGAATTTAATAAAGAGTTAAATAGATTAATAGGAATTTAATTAATTACATTATTTAAAAATCTTAAAGCTAAGTGCAACCTGCAAATGCGCAATGTCATGTTATTTCGGGGGGTTGGCAGTACAGGGGTTATAGGCCTCGGTAGATGTCGTCCAGAGAATTACGGACTCCGCAGATATTCAATTTGATATCATGCACCCATTAGCAATTGAACTAAAAAAAGAAAGCCGTATGCCCGTTTCGGTGTTTTGTCTCTTTAGGTTAACGCTAATCCTTCAGTTGTTAAATCAAGACATTAATTGGTTCGGACATTGCAGTGGCGAAAGGATCAACTGACGCTAGGATCATGTCATGTCGTACACGAGCTTTACGGACTCCGCCCATTAATTAGCCGAGTTCCGAGTGAAGTTAGATACCAACAAGAAAACGCCCATCCATCCTCGGAATATTCAATCATTCAATTCGACATGGCTTCCCAAGATACATTCGTTGAAAATGGAACTTCGGTTTTGGAAATGTCGCCAGATAAAGAGAGGGGTAGGATTGAAGCGACGGACCTTGTAAAATGGGATGGGCCTGAAAACCCAATGAATTGGCCGAAATGGAAGAGACTAGGCCATGTTGCCTTGGTTAGCATTATCATCTTTCTGGTGTCAGTATGATTACTCAGTTGAGGAAGTCGGTCCTGATCTGCTGTAGGAACCTCTCTACGACCATCTCCGCTCCAGGTTCTGGTATCCTTATGAAAGATTTTCATCAGGACAATTCAATCATTAGAAACTTAACAATTAGCATATTCCTCCTCGGCTTCACTCTTGGTCCTCTGGTCATGGCACCACTATCCGAGCTTTACGGGCGTTTGATTGTGTACCATCTTTCAATCGCCACTTTCATTGTATTTCTTATGGGCTGCGGATGGAGTGAAAGTATCATCTCGTTCCTAATTCTCCGTTTCATTGCTGGATGCGCGGCTTCGTCTCCCTCGACCATTGGTGGAGGAACGGTCGCAGATGTCATTCCAGTCCAGGAGAGAGGAGCCGCCATGGCTGTAACAGCAGTGGGACCGATTCTGGCACCTGTGATTGGCCCTGTTGTGGGAGGATTTGTCGCACAACAACTTGGCTGGAGATGGACATTTTGGCTTGTTGGTTTTGCCGTACGCATCCATTCTTACTTCGTGGAGTCGATCTAATCGTTAAGAAGGCTTCAATCTGGCTTGTTGTAGCCATGATCTTCATGCAGGAGACTTATGCGCCAATACTACTTAAACGAAAAGCTGCGCGACTTCGAAAGATAACAGGAAATGTGGGACCTCAAGCCGAAAGCGGAAAGAACCTGTCACCACTTGCTTATCTTGGACGTGGATTATCTCGGCCGTTGAAGTTGCTGGTTCTATCACCCGTTGTGCTGCTGCTCTCCATCTACGTCGCGTTTGTTTTTGGGTTGATGTTTCTCTGCTTCAGCACCTATTCCGAAGTCTTCATAGAGCAATATCATTTCTCGGTCGGCGTTTCTGGATTGACATATCTTGGGCAAGGGATAGGCATGATCATTGGTCTTATTCTGTTTGGAGCTTTGAGCGACAGGATTTTGAAAGCTAGAGCAGCAAAACACAAGGGAGAGACGACACCTGAAGAGCGGCTACCGCTAATGATATACTTCGCCCCTATTGTTCCAATTGGGTTTTTCTGGTATGGGTGGACTGCACAGGAGAAGGTTCAGTGGATGGCGCCAATTGTTGGAACAAGCTTTATCGGCCTTGGTAATTTGTTTGTTATGGTAAGTGCTCTGCTTGGTTGTTTCCTAACCTAACCTTTTTAGTTGCCGGCCCAGATATATCTCGTCGATGCGTTTGGACCTGAGAGTGCTGCTTCAGCCCTAGCTGCGAACTCGCTCTTGCGATCTCTGTTTGCTACATTTTTACCTCTCACAGCTCCACGCCTGTATGCAAGCTTGGGCTATGGATGGGGAAATAGTTTGTTTGGATTTTTGGGTTTGGCTTTCATACCAGTGCCTGTTTTGTTTTATAAGTATGGGGCGTACTTAAGAAGCAGGTTTCAAGTTCGATTATAAAAATTCGTTGATTTTCTCGGCAATTATATGTTCTGATCGATTGTGTACTAGTGCAGATTGTTCACTAATACTAGAATTAACTAGTAAAATAGGGTTGTTTACTAATTCAGCTGCCCTGATTAATAACTCAATTAGCTCATAAGCTACTTCAGTATATAATTTTATAGTATTTCGCGTGCTCGCTTAGTACTATTTAGCTTGTACTTAAACGTGTAAGAGAGGTCTCAGTAATTATAACTAATTCTTATTAGTAGTAGTATTATAATAGCAGAGCTAGAGTAATAGTCAAGGCTCAAAGATCTCTATTTCTTGTTTTATAGAATATAAAGCTAAAGAGGAGAAGAAGAAGAGAGAGAGAGAGAATAAAAGAAGAGAAGTACTAGCTAAAATAACTGAAACGCTAGCTTAATAAGTAAAGCCAGTTATATAATAGCTAACTCCATGAGACCCTAGCTAGTACTATTATAAGTATAGCAGGAATTTCGGCTTTACTAGTCTCGTATTATAAGTTATAATATTTAGAGTATTATATATATATTAAAGGCTATATTAGTAAAAGCAAATATAAAAAATAAAAGTTTAATTTAATTTTAAATAAATATAATTAAAAATTATTTACAAAAATTTCTTTTTATAATTAAAGTTTTATTTCTTACTTATAAAAGAAACTTTAATTAAAATTATAAACTCGTATAATACTTTATTATATAAGAAAAGCCTTATAATACTTATTAAATATATATATTTATTATTAGTTTTAGAAGTACTTATTATTTCCTTAAATGAATTAGTAATAAAAATAATATATTTCTTTAATACCTTAAATTTCTTAAAAATAAATTTAAGTAACTTATATTTTTAATTTATATAAATATTATAAATTAAAAAGAATTAGAAACTAACTAATTACTAGAGATTAAAATCCTTAATTAATAATAACTTTTAATTTATTATTTATATATATTAGTTTATTTATAAGTATTGGTTTATTTATAAGTATTAGCTTTATAAATATTAAGCTAATATTTTTAAGTATAATTTGCTTTAAAGCTTTTTTAGGAATTAATTTATTATCAGAAATTCAAACCATTTGAAGAGGAGCAATCGCCGAAGTTGACCTGGCAAAGCTTGAACCACCGTTTGGATTGAGGAAGTTCGAGCGATCAAAAGAGCTGGAGCCGGAAAGACCACCCGAGTCGAAATTGTACAAGGATGGATTGGAGTTCAGGCCACTTAGGGAAGATTAATCGCCTAGATTCAGGTACGAATGATTGTCGAATCTGTCGATGCTGAGTGTTGAGTGGCCTCTTTGGTTGAGAGAGCGAGTAGCGTTTGGATCGAATCGAAAGCCGGTCGAATTGTCTAGGTTAAACGTGTTCAATTAGAAGAATGAATCAAGACCCCTAAGTAGCTCAATGGCCTTACTTCCAAGAGAAAAGGGTTTCTTTTATGCAGAGATGGCCACAAGCCGATTTCTCGATTTTCGGTAAACCTGAGGAAGGCTAGGGATTCCATAATAAACGAGTCGTAGTAGGAGCTTGGAGGACTGGGATTTCATACGCAAGACCAAATAGTTAGCGTACGGCAGTTGCGAGTAGCAAAACTAATGTCTGGACGAGATTAGTCCAACTCTGACAAGCAGGCGCTCACGGGCACTTAAGCCGCTCAATTTTCCTCCTAAACACTCTACAGATTCTCAAACTAGCTTCAGTCAACTCACTTCGTTTCGTTATGGCTACCCTTGAAAGCACGAAATTTGCTGGATTTGCACTTCCTCTATCGAACGCGCTATCCTGCAACCCTTATTACACTCTGACCCTCTAAAATTAATCGTGCTCTCTATCCACACACAGATGGCCAGATATCGTACAGACCTGCGGCCCCCTTGTCGTCTTCTGGATGTCAAGTTAATGCAGGTAGAAATACGGTTGCGAGAGCTGAGGGACGCGAAGATATCCCACCCAAAGTGAATTATTCTATTCTGTTAATCTAGGTCGTAAGCGCGCTCTTGACATTAGTGGCGGTGGATCCGCCGACGATCTTCCATCTCTCGATGAGCTTTTTCGGACTGCTCTACGCCCGAAGATCTTGGTTGGTCCCGACTATGTAGGTAAATGAGATGTTAAATTCCAACCACTCAATTGAATCAGGGGTGGCATATCAAATTCTCTTTCAAAATCCCATATCGGCACAAATATTATCGCGACTGTGTGATGGCCAGGAAGAATGTCCACACATAGGACCCGCACGTCTGGGTTTGGGGCGTCTGTTTCACCTGGCGGGAGTTGGGGGTCGATCGGGGAACGTACGGCATCCATAATATGGAATGCTGCTATGGCCGGACTTTGAAGGATAACACCCATTCTCTTTCCGTTCATCGTCAAAACTACCAGCTTGTTGATTAGTAAACAAATCCGCAGCGAAGTTTGGGGGGGTACATACGAGCTCGTTTGCCACCTTCCTGTGTCACTATATCAGCTCTCGTATGCATTCTCCATTGGCTAGTATGCGCAGCCCCTTGGATCTCATCCTGAAGCAGAACCTGAGAGCGTCCACCCAAAAGTTTCAAACCCCGTCGGATGCGTGGTCCGTGATAGGCAGAGGTCAAGTTTGTGATCCATAGAGCAGTACTACTGTCGTCTACCAGAAACGCTGGACCGGTTTCCGTTGTGCCGCTACTCGCGAAGCTGACCGAGGGCGCGGTTGTTACTTTTTGATTCGTATTGTTGTAGAGTATCGTGTTCTGCCCGGCGGTCCGAGTTCTGTAGTACAGCCAGCGATCACTGTCTTGCGACTCGCCGGCGAAATAGCCGTGTGAAAGATAGTCCTGGTGGCAGAGTTCAATTGCCCACCTTTCTCCCAAAGCGTCCAGCACGAAGTCACCGGCATCTAGGTTGCCATCTGTGGTGCCTTGTGAGATTCTGCTGTCTGGATGTACTGGATAAGACTAGGGACGAAGAATCAACTCACGTGCCGCATGCCCTGTTGACTTCCCCGCCTTCATTGCGACGAACAATCCGGTCGCTGATGACCAAGAACTCCGTAAAGATACCCAAGCACCATCTGGGCTGTCGAAGCTCCGGTCAAGCGGGAGATTGGAGTACCAAGAGCCCTTCAATTGCGGTTTATACCAGAGCATCGATAGGGGATCGGCAGCTTCAGCCTTCACCCTTTGGTACAGCGTATATGCCGGCATCATAAATTGGTCTCCGTAAAAGAAGAGCGAGTTGGCCGTGGCTGTGATCTTCCTCGGCCCACAATCCCCGTAATTGAACTTGTCTGTCATCCCGTTGTTATACATATGGAACATTCCGGTGTCTTTGAAACCTCGGTTTGCTGTCAGAAGCCCCTGGGTGCTCCCGGTGGCCGAAAGGAGCGCTGATGCCAACTGCGCGTGAGCTTGTGTCCCAAAATGCCAATAGTCAGGCGTCTCGACCCAAGTTCCATCCGTCTGGACAGCTTGTGCGCAGTGTTCCCTCGCGTTCTTAATTGCACGCCCTAGCAGTGCCTCTGCGACCCCAGTAGGATCATCGCGGTAAATCGCAAGAGAAGCAATGATGATGCCACCGTTCGTTACACCTAGCTGTTCAGCACACCGATCAAGTATTGGAGGTTTGCACTACAGCTTTACATACAGTTCCAATTACCTTTGGCACGGAGGAACCATGCCTCATCGTTATACGCCTCTAGTCCTTTTGTAAGACCTAATGAAATGATAGACCACATGATGCCTTCGCGTTCTTCGGGTCTCCACGCATCGTACATCCAGTCGTAAGCGTAAGCAAAGGCAACGAGAAACTCGCCTATGTCAAGCCAATGCCTTTCCGAGGGGTGAGCTGAAAGTAGGGACTTGAGCTGGGTGTGAATGATATCTGCTTACTGGCTGTTCCAATTGTCTCCATCGACACCGAAGTACACTGTTGAGTTTCCCGAGGCCACGAGAAGTTCTTCCCACACTCGGCTCTTCCATTTCGTATCTCGTGTCACACGAAACATGTAGGCCCAATGTTTCACACGTAACTGGACTTCACGCGCGGTATCTAGGACCCCGTTACCGGATATGCCTTCTAAGGAGTAGTTAACATGGGGTCTGGTTCGCCAGATCTCAGCCCGCTCCGAGATAGTTTGATGCCATTGTGTCATGTATGAGTCTGTCCCTATCACCTCCGGAAGTCTATCCCATTCCTGCTCCGTGGCAAACAATCTCGGGTGTGATGGTTGGATAATTGAAATAAGAGCTCCGAGTTGAACACTTGTAGTCTGCTTGGAGTCTTGGTCCAATACAGGGGTGGCTATGTTTGAGACTGCCGGTGTGCGTAGTTTGTTTGGAAGTCGAATATCCATAGTCGCTGCATGCGAAGGCACTCCTTGGTCATTGATGGCAAAGAGCATCCACCATCCTGGAGGCACTATTCCTGGATCGCTGGGCACCTCAATTTGGGATTTCCATTCCTTGGTTGGGTTGCCTTCTCCCCTATCCAGAGCAACAGCGTCAAGCTGGATACGACGTTGGTCGGTGTTGATTGAATGTGTCACTGATCCATAACGGATAAGCGCGAACTTAGCGACTGGCTCATTAGTAAAGATGAACAAACTCGCCCCGAGTTCAATGATAGAAGGCGAGGTGCCTGTGATCACAGGACGTTGTGCCAAGCCCCTATCGGAATTGAATAAATAAGGCGGATAGAACACCTGCAGGTCCAAGTGGTTTGCCGACGTATCTTCACAGATCCGCCAACAAAGACCACCGCCTCCAGTCAAGACTGTTGCGTCAGGCAACAGAATGGCTATACTGTGGTAATTTCGTGGGGTTGGTGATCTCACCATTTTAGTGAACCTTCGAGTCACTGGGTTCCAGAGCTCCGGCGTGAGCGATGAGTTCACATCGGTCCACTGCCTTGCATAGGAAACACCACCGTTGACGAAGACATCGCCAGTCGGAAGAACAACACTATTGGCATAGGCGCGCGGATCGTGCATCGAATCTATCGCCTCGGCTTCGACTTCTTCGAAAGGATCAGAGAGGGTAATTATATGGGCTGCTCGTGTGCTAAATGAGAGCGCATAGCTTGGCGCACCCCCGAGTGTCAAGATTTTCCCCTTTGTGGCGTCGTACATGATGGCATTCCCGTTCATGGAGTCCTCATCTGCACCTCTGACTCCGGCAGCGCGGTGATCACCTAGGCCGCGCGTGCCATACCAGTTCATATTCGCCGAGGGTCCTGCTTGAAACACGGACTCGTTTTTCCAGGCGAAGAGCCAGGCGTGATTGTCGGCAAAGAACTCGCCCCTGGAGTCATTTGTCAACATCGGTCCCACTGGACAGTCTGGCAATGCCGTCCAAGCGTTTCCAATGGGATCAAAGACTTCTCCACCCTTACTTGCAACGTCGACACCCCCGATACCTCCGTTCCACGAGCCTCCAATGGTGAATATGCGGCCATCTGAGAGCGTTGTCTGCGCGTGGTATCCACGGCCCATTGTCATGTTCTGTGCAGATATCCAGCTGTCACTCTCGTCGTCAAAGATGCTCACTTTGTTGTCAGTCATTCCTCCGGTGACAACGGGTCGTCCTTGAAAATCGAGTGAGAGGCCCGGACAGAACATTCCATGGTTGGTTACTGTCCCGGGGGCAACAGAACCCGTGAAGGGATCATAGATGGCCGAAAACGTGATATCGTAGCTGCTGCTGTCTTCTGCATACATCTGGTCTGCTTTATCAGCAGCAAACATAAGGATACGACCTGACTGTGGAAGGACTGCGGCAGCGACCGGTATGAGTGGTACTGGGATTTTGGGACCCCATTGACCATGAATTGATGGGTTTGATCCCCCATGGAAGTTGACCAAACGTAAGCGTTTGTAGCTTGTCGAGCGAGTGGAGCTGAAGTATAGGAAAAGCGATGTGGCAAAAGCAAACGCCCAGAAGAGTACACAACGAGTCAGAATCCGGGCGCCCATAGCTACAACACGACTGACATATAGTTTAGTCTTGTGTTCACTACTTTGAGGCTCTAAGGAGAGAAGGTAGTGTAAGTAAGCAAACTCAACTCGGGGACGTGTTTCGATCCTTTAGAAGGAGATAGGATGAGAATATGTAAAAGATATACTTGTATAGTCGCAGTGTGTTTCAGCCAATATAGCACCGTGTTCAGGACATACAGGCATCGATCGAACAATCTTTCAAATATGTCCCTTTCGTGTATGTCCGAGAGGCTTCTGCATCCTCACCGCCGTGTGCTGGAAAAGGCAAGCAGTAGGTGGACCAATGTCACCACTCGACCATGATACACTTCCGATGTACTTAAGCCATGGATGTCTTGTGGCAGGGATAACATGGCCCCTTGACTTGTAGACAAGTAGTGTACAGCGGGATATTGGGTTGAACGAGTTTTAAATTAATTGGTCTCATACATTGGTGGTCACAATACGATGCCGAGAACCTTAGCGTAAAAAGGAAGGCTCCGGCATCGAATAGCGGTGACGCGTGCAGCAAACCCGAACTGTCTCGGGACAGTTCATTCCACAGTCCGACTGTCCCCAATTCTACCGATAAGCTAGGCGGTGAAGCGTGTTTTAGCGCTCTGACAGCTTCCCCGCAATTCTCATTAATAATATGACATCTTGACTCAATATACAGTGATTTTGGTAGCATTCGAGGCTAACTTTGCATCGGCCCGATACATTATAGTTAGAAGTTGTCAAATATAGAAATACACCGCTATTTGAAGTTTTAGTAATATATTATTGCTATATATTCGTAACTTAATATACTAATTTTTGGTACGAAATCGACTACTTATATACTATTATAATATTAATTTTATTATATATACTAATATTTAAAGGTTTAGTAATAAATATAGCTAGTAATAGAGGAAAGAAATAGCTAGCTATTATATATACTTATTAGTACCCGATTATATTATAATTATTACTAAAAACCACATATTATTATATTATAAATTACTAAAATCTCTCTAATTTATTTCTTATTTTTATATATCTCTAATTATTAAAAATAATTATAATATATTTTTAATTAGCTAAATAAATTACTATTATAATTAAAGCCATATCTATTATAAATTAATAGTAATCTAGAAATAATTTTATTATTTCTAGCCCTAATATAGCTTTCTAATACTTTTAGAATTAGGCCTTTATTTAAAAATTTGCTTTTATTATTAAGTATTATAATAAAAGAAAAGTTTACTAGAATTATTTATTTTATAAAAAGAAAACTCGAAATAGTTATTAAATTAAAGAAACTAATTAATAATATATAAATATATTTATTCGGGCTATTAATTATTTTATTTATTACTATATTAATAAATAAAAGAAATAAAGAAATTAGTAAATTTTTTATTATAATAAATATTTTAAATATAAATATTTCCTTATAATTACTTTCTTCTTTTTACTTTTTTATTATTACTACTATTTAGAGTATTTTAAGGCTAAATATATTATTAAAACTTATTAAAAAGCATTTAGTTTTAAGGTATTATTAAATATTCTTAAAAAAAAATAAACCTTAAAATTAAATAAAAAAAGCTCTATAATTTATTATATAAATAAAATAAAATAAAGCCATTAAATTAGAAAAAAGCTTAATTAATTATTATATACCTTAATAATTAGGGCTATTATATCTTTATTAATAAAGTATATATATTTAATAATCTTAGAAATAAAATAAAACATATTATTTAAAGTATTATATAATATATTCTCGAATAAATTCGCTTTAATTATTAATTTATTTTTAAGTTCTTGTTTAAAACTAGTACTATATTTAATAAAAAATACTAATGCCTTTTATTTTATTATTTTATAATTATTTAAAAGTAATAATTATAGCTAGAAATTTTACTATTAGATTGGCTATATTTATTAGTTAATTAGCTATTAAAAAACAAAAAAAGTATTTAAAGCTAAAGAAAATCATATTATAAAAAATAAAATAAAAGCTAATAATTTTAGTAATATTAAAAAAATTAAAAAAATTATTATTAAAAGCCTTTAATTTTGATTATATTAGCCTAACTTCTAAATAATTATAAATTATATTATTAATATTAAGTAATTAATTTTATTATTAAATAATAATATTATAATATTTTAATATTATTAAAAGTATATAGTTAATATAATTGAGGCTAGACAAATTAAAAAAGCTATTTAAAAATATTATATAATATTATATTAAATCTAATTTGAAATTAAATTTAAGTTTTAAATATTAAAGCTCTTAAAATAATATAATAAGCTTTTCTTAATTATATATATCTTATAAAACATATTTATTTAACTAGTTATTATAAACTTAAAAAGCCTTTATTTTATTTTTCTTATATATTAAATATTCGAATTTAAATATTAATATATTAATTCGGGCTAATTAGGTAAAACTATTTTTATTAGCCGGGCTATTAAGATTATTATAACAAAATTAAGTCCTTTATTTAAGAGATATAATAATTTATTTAATAAAAGCCGTTTTATAAATCTTTAATTAATTAATAAATTCTTTTTTTAATAATATTTTTAAAAACCTATATATTATTATTTTGGGCTAGTTATAAAAGAATATTAGTTTATAGAAATAATATTAAATTACCTAAAATAAAAGTATTATTTTTATAAATTTTATTTTAAAAATAAATATTAATTAAATTATTTTTTGCTTTTATAATATAATATTTCTTACTAATATTAAATAATTTATACTTTTCTTTTCTTTTCTTCTTAATAATTTACTAATAATTCTTTTATTATTTACGAAAAATAGCAAATATAAATTAATAATATACTAAATATTATAAAGCAAAAAAATTAATATATTATTAGAAACAAGTTTATAAATTATAAAAAATAATTCTTTTTTAATATTATTATTAATTTAGTTAAATTATATAAATAACTTTTATTTAAATATATATTATAATTTACTAAAGCTATTTAGCTAATTATATAATATCTTTAATTAAAAGCTAAAAATTAAGCTATTATATAAAATACTTTTTTTATTTAATTTTCTAGTTTTCGACTTTTATTATAGCTATTAAAATTTATATAAGACTAAAAGTATATATTTATTTTATTAAACTTGAGATAATTAAATAAGAAAAATTAAATAAATCTAGGATTTATTAAAAGGCTAAAAAAATATAAAAGTAATTAGGAAATAAAAAAAGCTTAATATAATAATATTATTATAAAGAATTATTATATTAGATAATATATTTAGTTTTTTTATATTTTTATTACTTTTATAAGTTTATTAATTTTAATTTTAATTTAAATCATATATTATAAGCTTCTTAAATTTCAAGCTTTAAAGATATTAATAGTATTTAGGGCTTCTTAAGCTTTATAATATTTTAAATATATGTCTTTTTCTTTTTTTAAACTTATTTTTTTTATAAATTCGAATTTTAATTAAAATATCTTTATTTAATAATAATTTCGATTTCTTCTAATTTCTTATAATTTAAGAGCTCTTATAATATATATTTCTTATATTAATTATACTAGCTTATTTTATATTAATTTCTTATTTTACTTTTATTTCTTTATTAACTAAACTACTTCTTTATAAATATATTTATAAATCTATAAAAAAGCAAATATCTTAAAATTATTAAAAGAAAAAGAAATAATATAAAAAAGACGCTAGTAAAAAAAAGAAATTAAAATTAAAAAATATAATACAATTAGTAAATAAATAAATAATAGAATAGAAATTATTTTTTAAAAGCTTATAATAAGAAATAAGTATATTATTAGTTTTCGAGCTTTACTAAAATTATTAATTCATTTATAGCTTTATTTTCTTTTTATTTCTTTTTTAAATTAGTTTTTTCTATTATAAAAATCAAGTAATTAGTCTAGTATATTTCTCTATTTAAGATATAAAGATTAATGGAATTATAGTTTTTAGTTAAATATATAATTTATTATATTATTATAGTTATCTTGGGCTTGGGTTCTTATATATATCTTTATTTTTCGACTTGAAGTTTTTCTAATGGAATTTCAAAGCTTATCGTGCGGTCATATAAACCCCCACCAAGTGGCGATAGCGCTAGAAGTACCGGCAGAATCGGGCTTATCGGTAGAATTGGGGATAGTCAGACTGTGGAATGAACTGTCCCGAGACAAGTCGCAGCAAACCGGCGCAGTTTGGGCTAACACACCTCGCCGGTAGACTTATATAACGTCCTTTTTTACACATATAGGTACCATGACTAATTCAGGGTTTCAGGCAGAGCTTCCAGGACGCTGCCGTCGGACCGATTAGTGGGGAAAGCTCGTGTCATGAAACCTTAAATTTTGTAGCTTTACAGAGGTACAGCCAATAAGTATTCATATAGCGCTAGCAGGAGTCTGAACTTCAAACCCTTATAATGCAATTACGAAATGCTATAAAAAAACAGAAAAATAAGATAGTATAATAGTATATATATATGAGATAATAATCGAGTTTACTAAGTACTTTTATATTGCATTTTAAAAGAGTTATAAGGGTTCAGTTTTTTATAGACCCCTATTAATTCGGTTACTATATAAATATATATTAGCTATATTTCTATTTATTAAATAATACTAAGTTTTAGCTATTTAGCTAATAATATATAAAATTCGCGCTTTCTAGAATAGACTTTTAGGTAGCTTATTAAACTTAAATTTTCTTCTTATAATAAAAGATTAATAATAATATTATAAGAGATCTCTAGTTAGCTCGAATTAAGGCCTTTATAAGTTCGATTTAAAAAGAAATCTAATATAATAATATTTAGTTTATAAATAAGCTATTAAATAAGAATCGAGAGTTATTAAAGCTAGAAAAGCTATAAAATAAAGCAAGAAATAAGAAAAATAATACTTAAATATTATAAAATAGCTTTTTTTTATAATGTAATAAACTATTTATTTTTAATAATATAATAATACTTGAAATATTCTTATATATTGTTTTTATTTAAAAGATATATATTTAGCTTTTAATAAAATATCTAGAATAAGCTAAGCTTTAATAACTTTTTTAGGCTTACTATTATTAGTCTAACTAAAATATAAAAATAATTATTATATTTAATAATAATCTTATATTTCTAGAAATAAAAAGCTAAATTTCTTATATTTCTTATTAGTTTTTAATTACTTCTAATAATATATATTAGTAAATTTCAAGAAACTTTTAGAAAATATAAATAAATATAATATAATAATGATTTTTATTAATTAGTTAAATAAGTACCTTATTATAATTTTTATTTAAAATATAATTATAATTAAAAAACTAGTATTTTTATTTCTTATTTATATTATTTATTAAATTAGTATTTTAAAGATTATAATATTTAATTAAGGCCCGTAATTTATATAAAAATTTTAAAGCAAGTTTTATAAATATATTAATATAAAGCTTAAATTATTAATTATTAATTAAATAAAAATTATTAACTAATAGCTATATTTTTATATAAAGTATTACTAGAATAATTAATTACTAATAAATAGCCTTAATTTGTAAAATTACAAACTAATTTTCTTTCTTTATAAAAAAAGGCTATAAATTATAAATATTATTTAATTAAAAAACCTAAATATAATTAAATATTTTAAAGAAAAAACTAAATTAAAAAAAAATAAAGGCTTTAATAATATAACTTTATAAATTATAATAAAAAATACAGGAAAATATAATATTAATATAAGAATATTATATTATTAATTAGTGAATTTCGAAATTTGGAAATAAAATATAAATTATTATTAAGTATTAAAAAAATTATTATTCGAGTTATAAACTAGCTTATTAATAAAAGAATTATATAAAATTCTAAAGTAAATTAAATATTTTTAGGCTTAATTTTCCGGAATTAATAAAAATATATCTAATATTTTATATAAAGAAACTATATAAAAACTCAAGTAATTTCCTTTTTAAATAAGTAAATTCGAAGCCTTTATTCTTGAAATTATAAAATAAAGAAATAGAATATAAAGTTTAGAAAATACTAGTAATAAAGCTATTATATAAGAAGTTTAAATATTAAATTTAATAAAAAGAATAGAATTTAAATCTAGAATAATATCTAGTATTCTTATTAAATAATAGTCTTTTAGCTCTTTAGAACTTTTATACTAAAAACCTTAAATAGCTAGAACTATTTTAGAATCTTTTTTATTAATTAAACTATATTAAAAATAATATATTACCGGAATTATATATTATAAATAAAAACTCTTTTAATTATATATAAAGAGCTTCTAGCTTTTAATATATAACTTATAACTTGAGAATTTAATAAAAACTTTTAAAGCTCGAAAATAAGCTTATTTTAAAAAAAGAAGTAATATTATAATTATTATAATATATAGTACTAATAAAAAGTAGATTAGAATTAGTTAAATATATAAAATCGAAATTGGGAAATATAAGTCGAAGTTATATATTATAATTTCGCTTAATTAATATATAAGCCTATATATAACTCGTAATTATTTAGATTTAAAACTTCTTTAAAATTTTCTTTTTTTCTTTAGCTTTAAATTATTAAAATAGAAATAATCTAATTATATCTTTTAGACTCTAGATTTTATACTTGTAATAATAAATAATAAATTCTTATTATAATAAGTTTATAATTTTAATATAAGAAAGAAATATTTAAGATATTTATAAGTAGTTTCGAATAAAATATAAATAGTATAAAACTTAAAAGATTTAAGTAAAATAAAATATATATTTATAAATATTTATAAATAATTATATAATTTTAGTAAATTAATATATATTAAATTTTTTAAAAAAGAACTAAAGTACTTATTAAGTAGCCTTATATAAACTAAGCTAGTACTTATATAAGACTACTTAAATACTGATTTTTTATAATAATAAACTAATTTTTCTTTTTAAAATCCTTTTAAAATCTTTTTCTTTCTTTTTTTAGCTTCTTTTAATTTGTTTTTAAATAACTCCTAACTTTTTAAATAAGCTCCTTTATATATATAAGTATCTTAGGAATTCTCCTAAATAGAATTTAATATATTTTTTAAGTAGCCTTTTTTAAAGAGAAAAAGCTATTTATTAAAGGATTTTAACTTATATTTAAAGTAATTTTAAGCTAATTTAAGCTTAATTGAGAATTATTAAAATATTTTCGAATGTATTAAATATAAATAAGTATATCTATAATAGAAAATACATTTATAAAAGTAATAATTAAGTTTTAATATATATTTAAAATATAATAAATAAATAAAAATCGAGAAAATTAATATATTCTTATAGAAAATCCTAATATTCTAAGAACTTCTTAATTATTTTGCTAATTAGAAAGAATTCCCTTATTTCAGAAATTCTGGTCTCTTAATTTCTAATTTTTAATAATAGAATTACTATTATTATTAAGTTCGTAAGTCGAGGTAATTCTAGAAGTATTATTATGCTTTACGCAGGTGCATGCCCTAATGTTTGTTACACCGCCTTTCCAGGGGTTGCGCTGAAATGCCCTGTAGCCATGCGCTGTAGCCGACTTTTGCTTAGCAGAACTCAAGGCGGTGTAACAAACATTAGGGCCTGCACCTGCGAAGTTCGCTTACCACGTGCCGCCACTACTTAATTGGGTAGCAAGATGGCACTAAAGCAGGAATGCCCGGAGCTTTACTAAATAAGGCTAGTCTAGCACGTGTGCGTATTACATGTATAGTACTCAAAGTATTTATAAATATTTATAAATACCTTAATTAGAATATAAGTAGAATATAAGTAGTGGGAATATTTAATGAATAGAATATAAATAGGGGCCACTACTCTATTCTACTCTATTTATTATTTATACTGTTTCAACGTCACTATTATACCCCTCTTCTGTCGATTCGAATAGGTCGTTCCATTATCCTGCCATATTCATCATGTCAATCCTCATTGGAAACACCCGTATTTGGTTTCCTCGCGGGCGAACTTGCAATTCAAAAACATCTGAGGTCTCGACGCTCGCTTCAAAGCACTACGAGAAGGAGCTTGAAGCGAGTTATTTGACGAATGTGGCTGATCAGGATCTTCTCTTCAACATTCTAGGCCCGGGGAAGCATATCTGGACTATCCTGGAAGTTCCACCCCAAGATGACCCCGACGTCATGCAGATAGCCTCGTGGAAACGACCCCTCGCTCGCCTTGTTGGCTTCACCGGCATTGTGCCCGCTCTTCTAACACTGTGTAACGCCTTTACTCAAAGTTTCTGCTTGATCAAGATGGGCGCAGACCATGCAACGTCAACCTGGAGACTGCTAGTAGCTTGGTTCATCATAGGACTCAACATTGTATTGAGCTGTAAAGTTACCCCTTTCCTCTAGAGGCTAAGTGCGCTCCTTTGAATGTGCGGCATCTAACAGTTATTTAGCACCTACTTTGCCACTAGCTCTAGTGAAGCTCAGGATCTTCCAGGGGAAATTCCGCCCTCGCCTTCGTCTCGTTGGGACAGACGTGCCACTTGTAGACGTGATAATTCCCTGCTGCAACGAGTCACTCGATGTGCTTCAAGACACAATTCTAGCAGCCATTGCACTCGACTACCCAGAAGATCGATTCCGAGTAATCGTGACTGACGATGGTGGATCTGCACATCTCAGAGCTTGGGTCGCTGAGCAAGGTCAACACAACCTATACTACACGGCCCGCGTCAAGAACGGCTCGTCTGGGTTCAAGGCAGGCAATCTCAACCATGCAATTCAATTTATCGAAACACAGTTAGCTCCGGAGCCGGCCGAGTTCATTGCATCCTTGGACGCCGACATGATCCCTGAAAAGAAGTGGCTGCGCGCTATGACACCGCATCTAGTCCTGAACCCGAAGATGGGAGTTGTTTGCCCAACCCAGGTGAGTGGAACACGGGTGAGGTTTTACCACTTCCTATCCTGCTCCCGCTAACCTGAGATACTGGAAGAGTTTCTACAACTTTCCCAAGAACGACCCCCTTTATCAAAGCCAGCTCAATTCGTGGCGTTGTTTGGACATTATTCGGGATATGGCCGACATTGCCTGGAATACTGGGTCCGGCTTCATTCTACGCCGCCAGGCACTTTCGGATATTGGCGGTTTCCCTACCGACTGTCTCGTTGAAGACGTCCACAGTTCGATGCTGATGATGTCCAAGGGTTGGAAGACCGCATATGTGGCCGAATCATTGCAATACGGCCTTATGCCGGAGAGTTTTCTAGGTCACATAAAACAATTCACCAGATGGGTAAGTTAGAGCCTCCAGAACTAACTCGGAGGAGCGTGTCTCTGCTAATAGATATATATTCAGAATCTGGGAGGTATCCAAATGGCCACACACTTCCGGTTCTATTTGTTTACATCGTACACGGGCTCCCTTACGGTATGGCAAAGGCTACTTGGGCTCTCATATGGGATCTTGAGTCTTATTCAACCTATATTTGTGGTTATTGGTATGATAGCAACGCCCATCTACCTTGTCATGGGAGTCCACCTGGTGTACTTCTACAATCTCCAAGGCCTCCGCTCTCTACTTCGAATTCAATGTGCCACGATACTCATAAAATGGGTACACGACTGCAACATGGGCATTTTGTCTTCGAATCGCGTTGCTATAAGAGAGGAGGCTCAGAGCCTGTACATGTCACCTTGTTAGTTCAGCCCAATTGACCCACTCCAATTCAAAGCGTGACCTTCATGTAAACTGACATAGGAATGCTAGACTATGTAATCGCATATTTGCGCTCCTTTGTCCTCCCGAAGAGCTTGGGAGGCACCGCACCTGGGTTCACACCATCGGGTAGTATCTCGGCCTCAGTTCACGAGCGTTCAGCCACGCGGCGCGCCCCCTTAATCGCTCGTCTTCGCCACATCGTTTTCGGCTGTGGTATATGGTTCCACGTCGCCGTGATCGTTGCGTTCGCCTTTTCTGTCACATATCGTATTCATCGCATCCTTGCTACCCATCCAGCAGACGAGGAAGGCTATCGAGACTGGCACTCATTGGGCGTCGAACTGATTAGAGATGTGCTTTGGCCACACCCAGCTTGGTTCGTGTCGAGTCTTGCATGCTATACCCCGATAAAATACGCGATTATGCCACCAGATGTTCCAGTGCGGGAGGAGTTGATGGGCGAGAGGGATGAGAAAGGGGCGCGATATCCACTGCCATCTAGTAAGGAAGGGAAATTCTCAAGGGTCAATGTCGACTTTGGACAACTGTATCCTTCCTTCGTGGTACCATATGCTGCATTTCTGTTTGTGGCTAGTTGGTGGATCTAACGGTATCTAATACTGTCTGAGTCACACCATCTTAGCCGTACCCTAAGTCCTCATTCTGCGTGCCTTGGGTATCTCTATTCCAGGTAGCGCATTGAAAACTTCTGCTCTTGGACACCTATTTGCAATTCTACTATGCCGGCATATACTAAAACTAATGTGTATACCCAGTCTTATTTATACTTAGTAAAGACTAATAGATATAAACTCCAGGCCTGTAACGGCGAGATCAATGCAATAGTCAAAGGCTCAAAGTTCAGGGAATCTCATATATTGAAAATACTAAGCTAGAGAGTAAAGGAGAGGGGAATGCCTCGACCTTTAATAGTGTTTCGCTAACCTCTAGCTTAATTCCCCGTTCCAGATGTGTTTTCTCTCGTATGATATTCACGGCAGATCATGCAGTTATGCCAACCGTTACAAGGCCTAAGAAACTAAGAGACTAAGTTATTAAGAAAAGTAAGTCTAAAATTAAAACTAACTAATTAATAATATAATATATAATTATTTATTTTTCGAAATTATAATAAATAGTTTTATAGTAATACTTCTTTTAAAAAGTACTCTTATATATTATATTAGTTATTATATTCTATAACTAATTTATATTTAAGTTATTAGATATATTAGAAATTAATACAAAATATAAAAATTAATATTTTATTCTTAAGCTTAAAATATTATAATAGTTTTTTCTTTTTAAACTTACTAAACTTGTTATACTTTAGCTTTTAATCTTATTAGCTAATATAATTATCTGACTAGTATTACTTATATCTCGTTATTTATATCCCGTTGCCTTCTAGTTATATAATAATATATATAATATAGCTACTTTAGGAAAGAAATATACTTGAAATATACTAGATAATATATTAAATAAATAAATTAGATTAGAATACTAGCTAGTAATCTAATTTACTTATTAAAAATACTTACTAATTATATTCTAATTAGATTCTAATTAAGGTAATTATAAATATTCATAAATACTTTAATTACTATATACGTAACTATTACACGTAATATAATAACCTAATTAGATATGGCTCCCGATTTAGTATTATCTTTATAAGCCTTATAATTTACTAATTAGATAGCGAAATAGTACTAAGGTAATATTAGAGCAAGGCTTCTATTTAATTAGGCTAGCGTATTATATATTATAGTTATATATATAGTAATTAAAGTATTTATAAATATTTATAATTATATATTCTAATCTAATTAAATTATTTAAATATTATAATAATTATATTTTATTTAAGCTAATTATAAATATTTATTAATATTCGAAATATCTTAATTACTTTTTTAATATATTAGTACTAGAGATATTTAAAAGATTATATATTATAAGATATATATATTTCCTTATAATCTTTTATATTTTAGTTTTTTCTTTTTTAGCTTTGAATTATCTTTATAAAGAATCTTTTATTTTACTTTTTAAGCCCTAAATATTATATTTATAATAATATTTAAAGCTTATTTCCTTTAATTTTATAAAGAATTTTAAATAAACTAATTCAGAAATAGAAGTATTACTAAAATAATAGAACTTTAAAAATATAAGTAATAGGTTTTAGAATAATAAAAGCAAAAAGCTTTAGAAACCTTAAAGAAATTAGATATTTATATTTTTATAAATATATACTAGTAATATATTAGAAATCTTTTTAAAACCCTGAAAATTAAAAAACTTTATATAAAGGCTACTTTTTAATTAAGTTCTAAAATAATAGATAGTTATAAGCTAGTAATCTAATTATTATTTTCAAGCTCTATTTTATAATCTTATAGACTTTATATATATATTAGTAATAAAATTATTAGAAAAAATATAATAAATTAACTTTTTAGAATATTATATAACCCGGAATTATATTAACTTTTATTAAGGCTTCTAATAAGGCTTTTAAAGTTTTTACTAGTTTAGATTATTTTATTAGTAATTCTTTTCGAATTAAATACTATATTAATATTTTAGAAGAATTTATAAATAAGTTTATAGAAATAAAGCTCTTTATTTTTATTATAAAGCCTTTATACTTTAATAATTCTATTATTATTAAAGGATTATATAAATAAGCCAGAAAGCTTAATAACTTACTTAAAGATATTAATATTATTATAACTAGTTACTAAAAAAGATATTTAAAAAACTCTTATATATAAGAATACCTATAATTATAATAAGAGTATTTTTAATAATATTAAACTTTATAATACTAAACTTAAAGAAGATATTAAATGCTATATAACTATAGTAAATCGGTTTATAATAATTCTAATTATTTCTATTATTCTCGTAATTCTTACTTTTTTAAATCCTTTTTTAAAAACTCTCGAATTATTTTTACTTTTATTTCCGTTTAGAATTCCTTATATCTTATACTTTCTTTAAATATACTAGAATTACTAAGCTTTTAGATTTGATTTTCTTTATTAGAAATTATACTATTTTTAATAACTAGCTAATTTAGATTAAGAATAAGCTATAAAGAAATACTAATTTATATTTCTTAAAGAATTTCAAGATTATTAATATTTCTAATAAACTTATAAATAATATTTTCATTCTAACTAATTCTTATATAAATAAAATAATTCGATTTAGTATTATTAGCTTTTAAAGTTAAACTTTTATTTAAAGAAGCTATATTATAATTCTAATAAAATATAAAATATTTACTATAATTTTAGTAAGCTTTAAATATATTTTAATTAAATATTTCAGAAGTTTTATATTCTTTTCTTATAACTATTTATAAAAGGCAATATTAGTTTTTAAAATATTAAATATAAACTAAATAAAAAGCTTTTATTAAAGCTTTGAAAATTAATATATATATATATTATAATAGTTCTTTTATTAATATTATTTGCTTTATTTAATACTATATAATTAATAATTAGTAAATTAAAGCTATATATAAAAAAATCAAGAAATATAAAAAAAACAAAAGCTAATTTAGTTAAATTTACTTCTAGTATTATATTCTTTTATATTTCTAAAAAGGAATCTAAAAAGCTTATATTTATTACTTTTATTAAATATATATTTTCTTAAAAGTATAAATAATATTTTATAAAAATTAAAGATTTTTTAATTATTAAATACTTTAATTATAACGAGTTTAATTATTATATTAAATACTATTTACTTAAATATAATAAGAAAACCAAAATAGCTATTTCTAGAATTAATCCGTATCTAGTTTCTATTTTAATAAAGTATTTAGTTTTTATTCTAATAAAATATTTAAAGAATTCAGGCTCTAATTCTAATATAAAACTAGAAAATATATATTTTTAAAGAAAGTTTTTATTTTAGGGGCTTATAATATTAATTTAATAAAGATTAACCTAATTTATCTAATAATAAAGAATACTTTTATAATATTCTATATTATTAATATAAAGCTTATTTAATTTATAAAACGATTTTTAAAAATAAAATAATAATTTCTTTTCTTATTTTATATTATATGTGATTTTAATAAAAAGCTAGCTAAGTTTACTAAGAAATATTTAAAAGTTTTATTTCTAATTAATAAATAAAGTATTAAAATACTTATAATTATTTTAAATCTTGAAACTTATAAAAGATATAAACTTATATAACTAAAAAATAAGCCTAAATTTATATAATTCAATTATATTATTAGTATTTCTTAATAATAATTAAAGAAATAACTTATTAAAAAGTATTAAAAAACGCTAATTTATAAAATATTATTATAAACTATTTCTAAAAACTTATTATTTTCAAGTAATTCTTTTTCTTTTAAATTAATTAGAGAGAATTATATAATATTATAAAAAAGAAGCTTTTATAACCCAATTAAAATATAATATTTAATTAAAAGCTAAAGAAGTAAAAAGAGATTCTTAATAAAAAGCAAATATTAGATTTAGCTATTTTTATTTTTATAATATTTAATTATATAACTAAAAGAAAAGAAAGTATCATTA